CTAATTCCAGAGCTGGCAAATGGGTCGTTGAAGAGATCCTTGGACTCGAGGTTTGTAAGACTGTCGGCGAAGTCGAATGACACGGGTTCCATGTCAGTGGGGTTGAGGGAGAAGAGATCGATGGCATTGTCATAGCTCCAGTTGGCAGCGAGAGGGTCGGGTCTGTCAAAGAAGTCGGCGGGTCGAGACTGGGGACTCAGGTGTTGGCTGAGGTAGGTCCCCTGGTCGATGGAGAGATTGGGGATCTCATTGGATCGGTTGCAAGCCATGATGCACATCTTGGATCATACGTTGGCCTCAAAAGGCAGTAGCAGGATTGGGAGATATATAGTAAGATGGGAAGAGTTACTATAGTGAAGGGTGGCGAGGAATCGAGGATTTATAAATAAACTGAAGATATCTACCAAGAGTTTCGGCCGGGGATTTATATATAAACCCACAGCGTGCCCCGAAAAAAAAAAAACAGGGGTACGAAGGTGATCCGGAACAGACGATTACGCCTGTGTACGAAGTGGAAATTGACCTGTGATGTCAAGTCTTTACAGTCTCTGCGTATCCAAAGTGGCCTAGCCTCTTCGGTTAGCCACTCGATTTCCTGTTCGGTGAAATAAAGCCGAGACCACCCAGATCTATAACGGCCGGCTCCGACGAGTTCATTTTCCGATATTCCCCCTAAGGTGAAACCGTTGAAGTTAGAGTGTCACGGGGAAGACCTTTGCCCAATCCGGCCGAGTCTCGGACCCGACGCTTTATGTAATTTATGTATTTTGTGTAATATGTGTAATTTGTGTTATTTATGTCCTTGTACATTTCCCCTACCTTGACTTGTTTTTTTTTTTACTGTATCGTTCCCCTCTTGATACTCTCCATGTAAAAATTGAGACCCGATCTTGATACTTCCACACGTGGCATTGTCAATGATGTATATTATTTACACAATTCAAGCTCAATGTCCTCATTCTCACTTCTCTTTTCCATTTCCCCGGTTACCCAGTAGAGTAGTTGTGTTGCATGCCAAAACAAAGCGCCACGTATCATACGGATTTCACGAATCATGTACTCCGGAGTATATCATTTCGTCTTAGCCCAGTGGCTATGACTAGCGTCAATTGGCAGATACTTTTATGGAATTAGTCCTCGGTTACAATCATCGCAACGATTTTGATATTCATTTTATAACTCATATCTTCACTACCATATAGGACCGATTGCTGGTCCTTTATTCGAAGTGGATCACAAAACGACTGTCTACGTAGCCCCAAAGTGAACCCAAACGACCTTCGTAAAAGCGGGACGTCGATAATACATATATCAATATGGAAAGGGCCCCAACCCGGTATATCGACTTACCGTACGGAGTACACGTTATCCAGAATGATGTACTCCATACGGACGTCTGCATACTCGGCCTCGCGTCTTTACATTTTTTATCCCCCGGTAAAAGTCATAGCCTGTCTAATATGCCGAATATACTTTGACGATCACCTGTCGCCAACCCTGGCAGGCAATCTATTTCGTTTTCTTGTGAATGGATCTCTTTGCATATGCGACGAAATTCTACGTCATCAGCTGCGTTCCTCGAACAGAGGATCATTGAGATATCATTCCCGATCTTCCGAAGTAAATTGATCCGGTAGTAATGATGATGAAGATTGACACGTCAAGCCAGGGTAAAAATCACTCAATTGAACCCGCCACTGAGATAGGTATGAATTCAAACCGGCGCAACTGGAAAGGTCGCGTATATTTGACAATATGATTTCTGCTCTGCCGCTTGTGGCAAAGTTAACGAGGTGTATCAGTCTAGTACTTTTGTCCGTCTGAAAATCGGGGCCACTTTTTGAGATTCAACAAACATCTAAAACCAACATGTCAGATCCAGATTTACGACGGAGTAACTACGGAGTACAATATGCAATTAAGAAAGTGTGAGGATTACCTAGGTAGAGATTGGTTCTCAGGTCTCCGTCCAGTAACGATGCAGGGAAATCCCGCTTATCTAATTTTCTTCATAAAATGGCGCCACTCGTTGGAGTGGGGTGACCTGGATGCTCCCCTTTTCCCTTCGCCCTACCCTCGAACCCGATATCCACCGAGTCCATACACGAAGCTCGTCCTTATGACCGCGATTTCACACGAATTGTAGACGGAAGTTTCTCCAGTTTGGCCTCCGGTCAACAGTTCTGCATTTATGGCATGAGAGTTCGTCTTCTGATCATCCCGATGCTGGGGGCGATCCGATTGTACTTTTTCTCGAGGGATCGGAAGAGAAGTTGCTGGCACAGTCCTTCAGCACACACAACCAAAACAGATATACCATCTTCTTAGACTTTTGTGGCTAATGACCCTATCTCACTTGACATCTCAGATCGATCATGACCTTCAAGGTTACACTATGTAGCCATCTAGACCGAGGCTAACCTGCAGGTGATTTCCCCTGTGTCCTAGGAGGGTCAGTCCACCCGGCACGCCTTGACCAAGTGGAGCGATAACGGGCGCTAGACCTGTCATCTGCACAAAATACACGGATCTTGACTCGATTCCGGTCCCGACTATCGTTCTTGGATCTTGGTTCCCGACGGCCGGATCCTCCTCTTTACTCCGTACCTAGGATACTCTTGATCATTGCCCAGATCCTAACTACATGATGCTAGCTATATACTACCTAATTGAACTTTTGACGTTCGATGTCTCACACTCGTACGCAACCCGAGGCAACCTTCATACGCTTAGGAGTCTGTATCGAGTTTTTGATTCGCGTCTAACCCAGCTTTAATCTTTAGGGCTAGATCTCGGGATAAATATAGGAATGGATCTGGAACTATGACTCCTGGAGGCTGAAAATGGACTATAGTGACCGTGCTTGATTCTCGCTTGTTTCCCAATTGCCATCTACATTCAGTTGGTTCATGCGGCTTTGATGGAATTTTTTCATAGCCGTAGGCCGCACAATAGTCTCATCAAACCCTAGCTCGATATTCCTTTCGATCAATATGTTATTCTGTAATATCCATCTTTATGGTTGGCTCGAATTGGAAGAAATATAGCCCTTGCTCTTGGTGCACAAAGCAAGTCAACATCCTAATGAAAGTCGCTTCTAAATGACAGCTCGGAATTCGCTCCCAAATCAGATATACATCATACGTTAAACACATGGAAGTTCTCCATTGCGGATACTCCATCTAAATACGTGATCCACTTTTACAAAATTTCAATGTTTGTTCACAATACGAAGAGTGCGTATTATACAATGTGTCCTCGTCTCCACTCTATCTTTTGTAACTTATCTCAATATGATGTACACCTAGAATGAGCCGAGGAATGGGCCGAGGTTGAGAATTTGAGTATGCCATTTGGGCGCATTGTGGAATTGTGGTGTCGTCGGATTTGATACACAGGGGGAGATTTACGATCACACATTTGATATGTCTTGTGGGCGCAGATTTTGCGATTCGCTTAACTATCCGGGGCTGACCAAAAGGCTGGTGCAATTCCGACTACCGGTCTCTAGAACAATATGAGAGGCAGTTGGTCTGCAGAACTTCACTGCTGTTGACGTCCAGGGTGCCTTCCAGATGCCTCAAACTATCAAGGCTCGACCACTTTATCAATGCACAGAATGAATCAGATGTGGACAAAATGACCCAATGGAGACCTGGCCCATTAGCAGGAAGTCAGGAGGCAAAACATTCCGATCAACTGGGGATGTCGATTCATTATGGCGTAGATATAGGGGAAGTGGGGAGTGTGTTTTTGATCCGGACTTGGCGCCTGAGTAAATTTATACTTGATGCAGAAACTACTTTGCAAGCTATATGTTCGGGGATTGGCATATCTAAGTGAAGATGAAGATAGGCCTCTCCACAGCATCGCTAGCTTGAGCAGTAGGGAATGCTTTGTACTGCTGTAGTCTACAATGCTTTTCCGGGCATCGATTACTTTTATTTCAGGAGGAACAGATTGTTGGGACACTGCATACAATTTCTATCCCCATGCCTCATCTTACTTCCATATGCGCAAGCGAGTGTCGGCGTGTGAATTGGCTACCGTCTTCCTAGCTCGACTTGCCGATGAAGGCCTCTTTGTACAGTAAATTACACCATATATTGATTGCGGTAGGCTCTTCGAATTCCCCTTGCAACACATATTTGTCAAATGTGACTGTCTTGAATTGTGAGATATATATCATGCCTCGTAGGAGTGATTAGAGCTTGACCGAAACCAACACTTGATGGGTATCATCAATTTCCAACAAGCGTCTGCAAAAAGGAATGGAAAAGCATTTCAAGAATGGTGGCTATGTCAAACGAATGGTACTTTTGTCAATCTCGTTCTACATCGCCAAAACTTTAATCGTCAAGTTTCCCCGAGCAAACCGCGACGTTCGGGATGACGATTTACAACTTTAAGCTGGGACCACATCTGACCGACCGGCAAATAGCCGAAATGAAACATTTACTCGACCTCAAGATTGGGGCCATGGTACTCGATGGGATAGGAATCGAAAAAGGGAATGCCGCTCTCTCCACCAAAAACCTGAAGATCGACAGTGGCTTGATGGATACAGTTCCACTTTTCGGGAAGAGACCACCCGGATTTTAGCCGGAGATGTATGGCCCCTTGGAGATTTGAGTGACATTCGGTATCTCAGGATTAGCTGGGTGGACATAGTCAATCAATGTTATGATATGCGGGATCCCATGGAATATGGACTAGGCCACTACTCTGGCGCCATTGGCGACATGGTCACGTAAAGCATGGATTCTGCCACGAGGGGTTGCAAGACATGTTTCAATCTTGCAACATGATCGTCCAGTTAAATTGACAAAGGTGATTTAGAGTAGCCACTTTGTTTAAAAATGGAATCGCGCCCGCTTTTATGACCTCACTTGTCGCTCGGATCTTGGTTCAAAGTCGAACGGATCTGGCTCTGAAATATAAGAGTCCCCAGTTCCTTTTCAAGTTTATCACCATATCTACTCTAGAAATCCCAATTGAAAATGAAGTTTTCTCTCGCTACCATCACCGCCTTCGTCGGCGCCATCAGCGCCGCCAGCCTTCCTGATGCCTTCACTCTCGTTGCTGAGGGCGGCAAGACTGTCCTGACAGATGGCCAGAACGCCTATATTGGTGCCAACACCACTGACCATGAAATCCTGATCCGTAAGCATCAATTGTCTCATGATACCGACCAAGCCCCTTAATTTATGATTTTTCTAGTCCGTGGCGGCAGCCCTAACGGCCTTGTCTCATACACTGCCAAGAACGGTGTCCCTACGGCTTTCCAGAACCTATACATCGTCGAAGACTCTGTCTCGCCCGTCGGTCTGACAATCCCTCACTCTGGCGCTGTTCCCGAGGGAGGCAATCTCACTGGCTTTGGTGTCAACGATCAGGGTCTGTTCACTCATGGCGGCAAGGATTGGTTCTCCGTTGACGGCTACGGCGATAGCAAGGTCAAGGAGATCTATTGGTACGGTGCTCATAACTCTGTGTACCGTAGCGAGAAGCTCTATGTTAAGGAGCTCAAGAATTACTCCGTCTAAAGAGTTACTCAGTTTTGACGCCAAGTCGATACGACAGAATGGTGTGATTAAAGTTGCTTGTGCGTTTGGCGAGGTTTTGAATGTTGACATATTCCTTTTACGTCCTTCTACTTTTTAATTATCTTATCCAACCGTACATATTGAAAATATCATGATGAGCGACATCAAAACAGCTGAAATTACTCAGAATCTGTTTCTATCTTGGAGGACAATCTATTTCTTCCATAATATACACAGGCCCACATCGAAGCAGCCTACAAAGGCTTATTCAACCATTGCCTTGATGGTATCTTCAAAGCTTTCAGGCTCACGCCCCAAGATTTCATGTAGGGCCGGGGATACGACTGCAGTCTCGCCCCTTCTGATAGCCTCCCAAGCTGTAGCCCACTCTCTTGACAAATTAACCCCCTTGTATGTTTGCTTATCAGCAATCCCAGGAATATTCACATACTCATCGACAGTGATCTCCCGGATCTTGAGCGCTTTCCCGACTGCTCGACCGAGAATCTCAACTGTCTCCGCAAGAGAGATCTCCCGTGGCCCAGAGAGCAGAACAATCTTGTTTAGATACTTGAAGGTCGTCGGGTCATCGACATACGAGGCAATTAACTTAGCAGTCGCCTCGCCCAGCTCATCGCGCTTGACCCACGTGACACCTGGACCTTTACCCGAGTGGGGGATTGTAACCTCGTCCCCTGGATTTTGTAGATCATAGAACGCGGTATAGATCGGGAAGGATTCAGAGTAGAGACCCTCACGGACTGAGGTGTAGGACAGCTTATCTTTCAGGGTGGATAGGTATTTTTCTGTCTCGATGTGGGCGCCCATCACATGAGCGATGCTCCGGTCGGTTAGATCGCCGCCGAACCCAAGAGACGAGTAGAAGATATGCTTGACGCCACTCTTGATCGCTGCGTCTATAGCAGTACGGTGTGCCTGTTTATAGCTGTCAGTTTGACTAGCTAGGTGTTTATGCAATTTTGCTTGATTCCCTTACCTTGATCCGGTAGTCTGTCTCGAATGATGCATATGAAACCAGCATCAAGACATCCACACCTTCGAAGGCCGTATCTAATGTTGATGGCTCATCATAGTCGGCCCTGCGTAACGTAGCACCAGCTTGCTTGAAATCGGACAGTTTTTCGGGGTGTCGGGCAATCAGAACCAGATCGGGTTCTGGGACTAGCTTCGCCAGGTGGTTCACAATGCTTGATCCAAGAGCCCCCGAGGCGGGGAAAACGCCAATTTTGACACCCATGTTGATGTGGTGATAGTAAAGTTGATTCAATTGGTATGTTGTAGCTCTTCAATAGTACTGGGATATTACGCTAGCCTTTATATACTACATACATCTCATGGTCGTTTGCTTATAAATGGAGCTCGGTATTCGGTCTACGGCAGCAATGACCGGATGCAATGACTCTGTCGGTTTCTCTATAAATCCATGGATGTCGATCTGTTTCCCTTTTAATCAAGATGGCCCCCCTTGCGCCAAAATTCCACCACAGTCGGAAAATCCAATAATTGACCTAAATGGGTATAGTTGACCCCTTGAAAAAAAAGGCGTTGCTTGCTCAGCAGATGGATACAGAGGATGTTGTGACGTCTTTCATTCGTCAATCATAATTTGAAATATTAAGAGAGGAGATAATGCACTTCTGAACGCCAAATGATGAACAAAGAAAGAGAATTGGTAAGCATACTCCGGACTCAATGAGGAACACCCCCGGTTCCGAACAATTCCATCTTGATGCGATCGGCACTCACGCCCTTGGCCTTGAGAGCCGACTCCATATCTGTCATGAACTTTCCGGGTCCACAAATGTAATAATCCGCCTTAGCATCATCAAAGAACAAGTCTTGATCCTTCAACTTAGACAAGTCCACCCGCCCGGCATGATCGTAGTCCACACCTTCCTTCTCTCCTTCAGAGGGGTGACTCGTAAAGAATGTTGTATGAATGGAGGGAAATTGCTTTGGGAGCTCGGATATGTGCTTTTTGAAAGCACGCACGCTTTCCGAACGTGCGCCATGAATGAAGTGCACTTTGCGTGTTTCAGGCGATTTGGAAACCAATGTGTTCAGGATCGACGTCAGTGGCGTCAAGCCCACGCCAGCAGCGATCAACACGATCGGGTTGCCGCTTTCCGAGTCGGCGGGAGAAAGGAAAAAGTCGCCGTAGGGGTGAGAGACTTTGACCTGGTCGCCAATGTTGCAGGTATCGTGGAGGACATTCGAAATGTGACCTGGATGGGTGGCAGCACCTGGGGCAGCTGGGTTGAGGCCAATTTCTCTCTTCACACTAATGCGATAGTAGTCGGGCTTCGGTTGATCGCTGAGAGAGTACTGTCTGGCTTGCGGGTACTTGAGAGCTGGGACGTGGGTTTGGACGGAAATGTACTGGCCGGGCTGGAAGGCCGGAAGTGGCTGTTCATCAACTGGGGCGAGATAGAAGGAGGTGATTTCCTCAGATTCCTTGACTTTGTTGACAATCTTGAAGTCTCTCCAGTCAGTCCATCCCTCGGCACTTTCGTAAAGCTGCTTTTCGCGGCCGATCATGATATCTGCGAGCTGCCAATAGGCTGTGGCCCATGCGTCGTGGATTTCTGGTGTCAATGCCGCGCCGAGCACCTCACCCATGGCTTCGAGGAGGTACTTGCCAACGATCTTGTAATCGTCGGGCTTGATATACAAAGACGCATGCTTGTTGCAGATCAACTCAACCGCTGAGCTTAGTGCGCCAAGGTCATCGATATGCGAGGCGTATGCGTAGAGTGCACCGGCTAGCGCACGAGGCTGATGTCCGTTCACCTGGTTGGAAGTGTTGAACACGGTGTTCAGCTCCGGGTGAGCTTCAAGCATGTTGCGATAGAAGACAGTCGTGATGGTGTTTCCATGTTCCGCGAGAACAGGAATCGTCGCCTTGATGAGCGCGATTTGGTCCGCAGTCATTCCTGGGTTAGAAGCCATGATTGATTGAATATTTTGAGAAGGAAAAAAAAATAAACGATTGACCCCTGCACTGCTGGAGAGGTTTAAATAGAAGTGACGAGTCAGATGTGAGTAATATGAAAGCGGTTCCAAGGTTGCATCTGGCTATCCAGCTATTTATCTCTACTGGTAACCGAATTGTTAACACGGAAAAGACGGGATTTGGAAAAATCTAGAAGATGTCTGGCATGATCTGTGAATATTTTCAATGCCGAAGTGAAGAACATCTCCGCGGAGTCCGCGGAGAGGCATATACAACGCATAAAGGGATTAACTCGGAATTTTCGACCCAACTTTTACTGTTCTGCAACATGCAATGATATAGAATTGAACATAGTTTCTATCTCTAATATATCTAGATACAAATCTGCTTTCAAACAAGATGGTTGTGTACAGGCGTATGTGTATCTTTGAGACCCTGGAGGATCGCCCCACGGTAGATGGTAGTTCCCATATAAAACAGCTTAATGCAACCTAAATTAAGGCGACGCAAATTCTTTCTTAATCCACACGTGGTGCCATGCGCGAGAATGTCAACGCTCTAACCCCAGACCTTCCAACCTCCCGGGGAAACCCGAGAATTACTCAGCGTCTCTGCTGATGTAAGCTAGAAACCGATCCATGGATCTTTAACCATTCTGCCATTCCAGTTCGAATCCAAGTATCATCCCTGGAGATTGGGCCCCAGATCTAGAAGATGTTCGGAATCCATTGGACAACCCATGTAGAATGACGTGTGGGTAGGTCTCGGCGACTCTAGCAACCGTTTGCGGAAGCCCGGATGCTCCCGCTGTTCAATTCTATACGGCAAGTAAGTACGAGCCTATCCTATCGAGTCTGGTAAAAGGGATTACAGCCATAGAATAAGCTTCAGCTGAGTCAAGAACTGATCGATGATACATAAACCAGTTGTGCGACACACCTCCTTATTGAGTAGTGACGTCTGCGATATGCCATGGGAGTAAAGTCCAAGCTCAATGGATAGTAGAAGAGGCTGAGGTGCCCTCACTTGGATACTCTGAAGAAACACTAGTCATCTCCGACTTCAGTCTGTATCTCAATTCGCCCTTCGCAATGCGGTTCAAGAAACGCAACTCGTCTGATACCTCGACGCTCGGGGAAATCTTGAGTTCCGGGGGCCTTAGCCAGTTGCCCATGCTGAGGATCCCCCCAAGCCGCGGTACCATTTGCTCTGCGTGGTGGGCGAGTTCGTAGGGACGTTCCTGTTTCTCCTCTTTTCCTTCGCGGGTACACAGATTTCCAATACCCCGAAACCGCCACCTGGCTCCCCGCCGAATACTTCCAATTTATTGTATGCGTCGCTTTCTTTTGGGTTCGCCTTGACAGTGAATGTCTGGGCATTCTACCGAGTTACAGGTGGTCTCTTCAACCCATCGGTATGAAAATCACTGCAGAGGAATGGGGACATTCGTAGCTGACATTCACCAGGTTACTCTTGCTCTCTGCCTGACTGGTGGCATGTCTCCTATCCGGGGGTTGTGTGTATTCCCTGCGCAACTAGTTGCCGGAATTGCTGCAGCGGGCGTGACAAGTGCCTTGTTCCCGGGCCCGCTAAACTGCGAGACCCGACTTGGCGGTGGTGCATCAATTTCGCAAGGACTCTTCATTGAGATGTTCTTGACGACCCAGCTGGTGTTCGTTATCATCATGTTGGCGGTGGTGAAGCACAAGTCTACCTATTTAGCTCCAGTGGGAATTGGTCTGGCTTTTTTTGTTGCAGAAATGATTGGTAAGTAACAGCCAGGCTTAGTACTTCGCAATGTACGGTGCTGACCCTCCATACCAGGTATCTATTATACCGGAGGATCTCTCAACCCTGCTCGCTCTCTCGGACCGGATGTGATCAACCGCTCATTTCCAGGATATCACTGGATCTATTGGGTCGGTCCTCTGCTCGGGTCCCTTCTTGCCTCGGCGTTCTATCATATCCTTCGTATCGCACATTGGGAGAAAACCAATCCTGGCCAGGATTATAACGAGGAAGAAGTAGCAAGAAAGCAGTCCTTGATTGGTTCGCAGGATACCACCACTGCCAATTCCCCTCAGAGTCCATTCTCTAGAAGGGAAGTTCCATTCGATGAGCATGTTTAGTGTTCCCCCATCATTCGAAGGGCTGTTCCGTGGAAATCTGGCGATTGGGTTCGCCTAGATGAACATGATCGAAGCAGGCTTGATCGACAAAGTGCGGAAATTGAACTGGAAGCATATGAGGCAAGGATTGGAACCCAGCAAACATTGGGGTTGGCATAGTCGGGAAATCAAATCAAAACCAAGTGGCTGGTCTGCACTATGCACAAGTCCGTGTGACCCAAAGGGGTGCATTTGAGTTGTGATTCTCTAGGAATCGTGCTGATTCACCTCAGCGTCAACATTCTCAATACTCGCGAAACGTGGCCGAAGTGACCAAATCGTGATTATTTGACTCCCCACCAGTGGTTGGTCAGTCTTGAATTTCTTGACGTCTTTCAAGATCCATATCCCCTGACTCACGTTTGTCGAGCTTGCTTGGGATTTCAATTCTCTATCCCGCCATGTCCGACCAAATACCGCCGGAGACGAGGTTTTCATGACTGACTTACAACCTATCGGCCTGGAGGTAGTCACACCGGTCGCCATCGACGCGATGGGATTGTGTTTTGAGTAGATACAAACATATCAATCTAGGTATCAGAACTACTAGATGCACTTGCCACGTATCAAAGACTAGCAGGCTTCAAAGTAGCAGTACGAGAGTTCTCATCAAGATTCTGATAAGAAAGCCTTCCAAGACAGGTTCGATAGAAAAGGGAATACTTTCGAGTGCGAAGCTGCCAAGCACTATATGTTATTTACCGGATTTTAAGTCACCGAGCTTTTCCGGTATCGAGAGGGGGTAATTTATTACATTGTATTATAAATTTATTGGTTCAGAACTTTCAAAAATACACGTCCCTGGCCTAGTGGCGCAGTGGTAACGCGTCGCACTGTGAGTTTACCCAAATCGACGATCTCCATCTTCTCATTCTAACGTTTCCTCAAGTGTAATGCGAAGACTCCCGTGTTCAAATCACGGCTAGGCCTTTCTTTTTCTTTTCTTGTTTTTTTTTTTTCTAGTTTCCTTCTTGTCCTGGCTGGCCGGCTCTGCATTTGTGCTTGGCTACTTCATGCTCTCCGTCATTGCTGTAATGGAACAATGATTTCTGCTTACGTTTAATTTGTGTATCAAGGAGGAGATTTTATAAAGGGTTTGTGCAATTGGTTATAAAAATGCTCCGGCACATGGCCATTGGTCATGGGATAAGCCATCGGCATATTGAATGATTTGGTGTAATCGAATGGTCGGCCAAAATGCAAAGTGTACAGCCAAGGTATAGTTACAGCTTCAAAAGAACGCCGGTATTAAACCTCTTTTCCCAGATGCGAGGAAGAAAGGGATCAACAAAAGATCACAAAAGATCGAGCAAAGTCGTAAAGAAAAGGCTTAGTGGATACCATGCCTGGTATCAAATCGAGAACCAACAGAGGTATTAACACTTTACAGTGCGACCATGACACCGAGCATACCGGCCATACCAGCAGCAACAGCGCCGACAGCAGTGGGACGAGCGAAGGCGCCATTGTCAGTGGCGGAGCCGGAAGGAGACCCGGTGGAGGTGCTGATCAAGGTAGTGGACTCGGTAGCGGTGGGCTTGCCGTCGGCATCAGTCTTGGTAGTCTGAGCTGCAACCGAGGTGATAGTCCGGCTGGTAACCTGAGAGGCGAGGGAGCTAGCTTCGGAGGCGGCGGCAGAGCCAAGGGAGGAAGCCTCGCTCTTGACAGAAGAGATGGCGGTGCTCGCGGCTTCCCCAAGAGAGGTGGCCTTCGAGGCGATTTCAGATCCGACGGACTGGCCACCGCCGGCGGCAGTGGAGTAAATACCTTCGACGTCGGAGGCGACGGAGTTGATATCAGCTGGGGAGGCCATGGCAGCAGTGGCCAGGAAGAGGGCGGAGGAGATCAAAGTGAACTTCATGTTGATGGGTGGAGATAAGAGAAGGATTTCTTGGGAGGGTGTTGTTTGATTTATTGGGTGGTGTGGATTGTAAATAACAAATGACTTGGGGACTGGAATGATAAACTGGAAATCCGGGGGATCACTACTCTTTATATTTGGTCAATGGGCACCAGTTTCCTATAGATAGAAACATTCGGAGTTTGATTGCGCATGGCTGGCCAGCCGAGGCGGCAGTGGCGACATGACCTCAGCCTTGTAGCGATTCTCGTGTCGATCGTAGGGTCCGTTCAGGGATAGGGGCTAGTATGGAGTACCTGTTTTGTTGTCGAGAACTGGATTGGACATCCCGCTATACGGCTTTGGGCAATTATATCGTCATCTCAGGATCCACTTTGTAATGAAGGCGCAAGTGATGGGGTCCATCTAACGCCCTAGTCCCTCATCCCCCGGAAACCCTCAAGATCAGAGGTGCATGTTCTTGCATGCCCTCGCATGAAGTTGATTCGTCTTGTTTGCGGGCAATGCAACACAGCCCACGGCCAAAAAATCACATTGCAATGTTTTGGGTATGTTGCTGCCTTGGCGGCCCCAAACAACTGGATTCGTACTCCGTACCGAAGACCCCGTTACCAAACTGACACATAATTAGCCTCCTAGGGGTGGCTTTGGGGAAGATCTTTACTAGCCCGAAGTTTCGCGAATGCTCGACAATGGTATGAAAGCGAGTCTCGCAACACAGTGGGTCAGCTCTTGTGTTGGATAAGCCAGTCTCGGCGCCCGTCATTATAATTTGAACAGTGGACCACTCACCTTCAATTTCCAAGTAAATCGGCCCCTGTTGCATTTTCAGCTGGCTTGGGGTAGCCAAGGACTTTAATGACGCGTCATATAGCAGGTTTGAGCGCTGTTATTGCGAAGGGGCAGCGAAGTAGCCAACTGCATCATGACTGGCTGTGGACGCAGTTGCTATATCCACTTGCAGCCTGAGGCAAATAAATCACGTGTAACGGTGCCAAAATTGGAAAGAGCCGAACGCCAAGATCTCGTCATCGAGGAACAGGTTAATGGGACGGAGTACTCCGTACATACTTTGTACTTTGCACACTGTTCACATGAAATCTTGAATTATTATATATAATTCAAATTAATAAATGCATATGTTCAGTGATGCAACATCACAAGTGTATCTATCATGCTACGAACTGACCATAGACCTGGATGATGCCTTCCCACCCGCCTTTGTGGTTTGATTCACGAGGGTTGCTCTTCCCATCAAGCACCATAACGTCTGCCATGCGCGTGCTGATCGAATACCAAAGCAGATTTTGAGGGTTGTTTGTCACCCGCATCATGTTGGGTTGGCAGCTCCCGTTACAAGGCTCCGCATATAGACCATTCCAATACCTGTCGAAGAAGGCCCAGGCAGCTGAGTTGTACAGCGTGATATTGGATCCGCCGTCGACATTCGTAGCTTTTGCAGTGCGACATTTTTGATCATTCGCAGCACACCACGAGAAACCAGGGTCACCGTACTTGGCTATGGCTGTCCATGGCGCTGGCGCGGCCTGGTATTCACCCCGACCTTGCATATATAGTGTCTCTGTTTGTAGAAGACCCGCAAAGACGTTCTGAGCGTTGTAAAAATTATACAACATAGTTATACAGCCATTGATTCTCGGAACCGGTTCCTGTAAGCCAGGTACCCTTGGTGGATTCTATCAAGATCCCGCAGCCAGTTGAGATAATATTGAGAGGTGACTGACTATCAAGGTTGTGATCGGCAGTCCATCCCCAGAATTTCTCACTGTATGCGGACGAGTTCTTGGTCAGATGCATTACCATAAACGCACCCATGCAACAAGGGGATGTACGTGACCTTGCACGAATCGGCATTCTCAGCTAAGATAGCGTTCAGAGCTTCGGTGTCACCAGTCTCACAATCACCCTTCACTGTGTGTCCAGGTACGGTCTTTACATTGACAATATCGGATATGCGGTAATCTTGATATGTGAGCTGGGCCTTCGTAAAGTATTTGCCTCCCACCAACAAAGAAACCGGGCGCTTTGTCTGCCAACTTGTCCCAGCCTGATAGGTTTCTGGCACGACAGTGCCCCAGACTTCAAGAATTTTGCATGTTGGGAAATATCATATTTAAGCATTCGCCCCTTACGACTTGTGATTATAGAAGCAAAAAGTTGCTTGTTTACATCCCATAATACAATCATTGAAGACGCAGAATTGCCCATGGGCCGGATTGTTGTTTTTTGTCTCTTCCGGGCGACGCATGCCTCTCTTAAACAATTGATGGTGATATTGAACACGGTTGTGTGGCAAGAAACCTGTAACCTATGAATCCGAGATTTGCGTGGGATAGATTTCCGATGAGGCGACACCTGCAAACAATACCTCATGACTGGCGGAAAGGGCTCAGAATCCCGCTGAGTTGATAATTTTTTACACTGTTGACCTGTGCGAGAATAAAGTCCTTGCTGATAGCCGACCGTGGTTCGCCAGTATACCCCAATCACGTCTCCGTGAGCTCATGTAGTGATTGTGGTAGCTCAATTCGACTGGGAAATCCCGAGGACATCAGACATGCCACCTTGTGCGGTTCAAAATCCTTTCACTGAAGAAAATTTCAAATCTGCAATTTTATTTACATCCAAACAATCGGAGGCTAGATGTTGGCGAATAAGTGAAAGCCACGCGTTGCCTTCATGTCGGAAGCATCCATCAGCAGCCCCAACGAGGAATCGGACCCAGAAAATACAAGCTCGTCCGAAGTTGGGCCGCATGCACCTCAAACCAGCCCACAAGATGAAGAGCCAGCACCTCGGGTTCGATTTCGATCAAATGCAGCTTTTATGCAGGAGGCTTGCCATAATCAGCCGGCACAAGGACCTCGAGAAGAATGGGAACATGCTCAAAGTCAAGGGCTGCCCCACAGGCCGACAATGCCCTACTCCCATGAATCTGAGGATATCGCCGACACGCCGCTGCAAGATCGCGAGCCGCAGCCGGGTGAGACAGAAGGCGTCGAAAGAACAGACCAGAACAAGCCACCAGAAGATGAGAAGAAGGAAGACGGGAACAAGGAACCTGAGACACCCGACCAGCGATCAAAACTGGAGAAATGGCGAGCCATGACCAGGAACTTCAGACAGAAAGCGTCAGAGCTTGGTGACCGTCTGGGCCGCCCACAGGCCGAGGGAGACGACTTATCAGCCGGGAAGTATCACGCTGACTGGGCGACTGGCGGTGCAGCTGCTCTATCTGATATGACAGATGACAAGCACAAAAGTGTGGAGACGAAACAGCGGCACCAGAAAGGAACTAGCTCCGAGGCTCATCGTCTGGTGCGAGATTTGACCCAAGATCAATCCCAAAAACGCCGCAAGGGTCGTGGGAAGCCCTACCCTCACGCCGGGAACGAGTTCAAAGACGAAGAGAATGAAACAGGAGCGGATGCGAGCTTGAGATACCGCTCTGGGGGTGGTGGGATCCTGTCACAGTTGATCAAATTGCAAGGTGGTCAGCAACAAGGTGTTGGAGACCAGTCTCGATCCTCAACTGACTCGTCCCGCAGCACAGAATCCGCCCCCACCGGAGCCCCAACCCCAACCGGGGCCCCAGGGGCTCCAGCTCCCAAGAAGAAAAAGCCACTGAAATGGTACAAGAAGCCCCAGAATACGTCCACTTCAACCTTGATTGGTGGGAGTGCAGATAGTTTCAGTGGCGCAAGCACTCCTGTTTCGAGCGAGATCCTGTCACAAGCTTCGAAGCGTCGAGACAAGGAGGGTGGTGGTGCTGCTGCTCTTGGTGGCGGCGGTGGAGGTCGCACTATGCGTCTTGAGGATGAAATTCGAGTTACAGTGCACATTGCAGAAATTATCTGTCGGCAGCGGTATATCATGCAGCTCTGCAGAGCGTTGATGTTATTTGGTGCTCCCACGCATAGACTCGAGGAATACATGCAAATGACATCAAAAGTGTTGGAGGTTGACAGCCAATTTCTATATCTGCCGGGCTGCATGATCATGTCGTTTGATGACCCTTCTACGCGCACGACGGAGGTGAAGCTGGTCCGCGTAGCCCAGGGAATTGATTTGGCTCGCCTATCGGACACACATCTCATCTACAAAAATGTAATACATGATGTGATCGGCATTGAAGAAGCAATTCAGGAGCTCGATGCAGTCATCAAGAAAAAACCTCAGTATCACAAGTACATCATTGTCTTGGTGTATGGGCTGGCCACTGCAACTGTGGGACCTTTCGCTTTTAGCGCCAGGCCGATTGACATGCCGATCATTTTTCTTAATGGTCTTCTTGTCGGTTTAATGCAACATATCGCCGCGCCCCGCTCAGTATTGTATTCGAATGTCTTTGAAGTGACGTCGACAGTGCTGACGTCCTTCCTCGCCCGAGCCTTCGGTAGCATCGCCCTTGGAGTTGTGGATGGCAAGCCACAGTATCTGTTCTGCTTTTCTGCCATCGCGCAATCATCAATTGCATTGATATTGCCCGGGTTCCTTGTTCTTTGTAGCAGCTTGGAACTTCAGTCCCATCAGATCATCGCTGGCTCGATTCGGATGGTCTACGCACTCCTCTTCTCGTTGTTCATTGGATATGGAATTACTGTTGGCACAACCATCTATGGGCTGATAGACAATAATGCGGTATCCGACACTCAATGCCCAGACAAGGGCGCCTTCAAGAACCCTTATGTCCAACGGTTCCCGTTCGTTGCAGTCCAGACAATCTGGCTGTTGATCATCAACCAAGGAAAATGGAAACAGCTCCCACCCATGAGTGCCATCGCATTGGCGGGCTATATTAGCAACTACTTCAGCACAAAAAAATTGGGATCAAACTCCCAGGTCGCGAATACAGTCGGTGCGTTCGTCGTCGGCATCATGGGAAATATATACAGCCGGTTCTGGCATGGCCACGCTGCGACCGCTATCCTACCAGCCATATTTGTTCTGGTTCCATCAGGGCTTGCTGCGACCGGTTCTCTAATCTCTGGTGTACAATCTGCGGATGAAATTCGTAACAACGTCGGGTCTCATAGTCCTGGGGCTGGCTCAGGGCCCGGGGCTGGCTTATCCTCTGGTAATTCTGTGTTCAGCCTAGGATTTGGTATGATCCAGGTAGCTATTGGAATTACGATTGGTTTGTTCATTTCTGCCTTGGTGGTTTATCCATATGGCAAGGCCCGCAGCGGACTGTTCAGTTTTTGAGTTATTCGTTGCTATGCCATTGGAAAACTATTTGGTTTCTAGCCTGTTATATTGATTCAGATAACATCTACAATAAGAGGAACTAAAGAACATATATGTATTCCAAGGTCCCTTCTCACAACTGCCAAGGTTGTAATGTGAGCAATGCGTATTTAGGAAAAGTACCAGGCACCTTCTTAGAAGCTTTAACTTTCCCGTATATTATGTTCATCCAAAAAAAGCCTTCATTGTATGTACCTACATCAAGCTTTGATGGATCGATCAAGAAGGATCTTTCTCTTGCCTCAGAGAAAGAGATCGTTGTGGCTTTTCCAACTATGTATTTACTGATTGTCCGTTCATTGTGCAGAAGATACTTGGAATGATGCTGGAGGGAACAGAATATATCAAGTGATTAAGCTGTCAATCCTAGAGGACTAGGGGTTGTGGCAATATAAATACCGGACTAATAGCTTTGGGAATTGCTTGCTTGGAAGATATCTGTCTTGGGAATGACTCTAACTCTAACAGGCCAAGGCGTCTTTTTTGCATTGCCTTTTGCGAGATCTCAGCATATGGCCATCCGGAGTCATTGTGCGCAAGGGAATATGCTCACAGCAAGCAGGATACGAACATGAAGATTATCACAGTGGAAGATAAGTATATTAGGAACAAGATTAATGTATATTAATGACCCAAGTACAGCATTTCTAGGGTAACAGGGGGAAGAATCCCGCAATGCAATCAATGCAAATATGCAACCAAATAGAGAGCAACCGGCGACCAGCCGCCGGCGATTTCGCTTCCACCTCATCAGTCCCGGAGGAGGTGATGAGTCGACCATAGATTCAAGTGTCGAAAATATTAAGTGTGCTCTATCGTGTCAGTTTGTATGGTTGTTGTGTCCCGTTGCTGATCTTGACAGACGGCGTAACCCAGAAGCTCGAGGAGGTAGCGTTCGCGGTGTGTGAAGACGCGAACACCGGTCGTTCGCAAAAATGTCTTTGCGTGCTCCAGAATGAGATCTAGGTGGCTGGGAGGAAGGCGGAATAGGGCGTCGAGGGAGATTGTGATTTGATCAGGAGATGTGCTTAGAGATGGGAATGCAGTGAGGAGATGGCGGGTACTTTTATCGCGGGCAAGTGACTCGCAGTATGTGTCGAGCATATTTTCACGGACGATGAAATGGAGAATCGAGTCCAAGGAGTCAGATTGAACAATGGCCTGCGGAAGCGAATGTTGAGGATCGGCGAGAACTCGCTGCATTAAAATCACGTAATGCAGATCTTCAATGAGCGGAGTCACCTGTATTTCTGTTGGTGATTTGTGCCCAAGGAGTGGACGATCATAGCCCAGCTTTCGTCGCCAGAAATAGTTGCACATGACCAGAGAAACAATACACGGAATCAGCACAACATATCCCCACCATCGCTCGGCAGTGACCATCGAAGCAGCGCCCGCAACAAGACCATTTAGCCCATTCACGCCAGCGTGCCATTGAAAGCGACGGACTCGAGTATGCAAACGGCGACGGATATCATCACTGGGCTCGCGTGCAAAAACAGCAGCGTCGTGCACATGGAATCGATAAAAGAGATACCCAGACCAGATGGCATTGAAAAGGCCAAATATCGCAGCTAGGCTATTACCAATATACCCAGAGAGCAGATTACTGGCCTTATAGACGTGGGGATTGGCGCCGCCAATGGCCATCAAAGTCCCAACGCCGACCAACAGCGAACTGAGTCCCATCAAAACATCCATCACGATCCGATCGATCACTTCGGTGCCAATTTCTCGCACTCCAACCCCAAGCCGGCTGTCAATGAGTCGAGTCATCTCTGCGTTCTTGTCGTGGTATTGGCGCAAACGCTTCAGGTGATCCCGCTCCGCTCGCAACAGCTTGACATTTATCCAGCTCAGTCGGAAATCATGTATAACAACCAATACCATTCCTAAGGCCAATGTACCCCCAATTCCCATGAGCACGGCGGCGAACTTCGGAACGGGGACCTCATTCCAGACATTGGCAGCGAAGTCGCCCGCGTTCGCTAGCTCGAGGTACCCGACACCGGCGAGCAAGCTGTTTTTGAATTGCTGCTGGTGCAGTAGACGGTACCGGCCGCGTCGTCGGACTAATTCCACCTGGCCTTTTTTTGATTCCAGGGATTCCAGCCATGTGATGTCACTAGCTTCACGGAGCAGTTTCGGGACCACGGGTGGTGGGGACTCGGTGGGTGATAGTAGGTCTAGCTCCATGGGTATGATCGTGGAATTGGGGGTCGACTGTGAGATGTGGGTGGGGGGTGGAAGTGTGATTAGGGTGTCAGACGAGTCGGTAGGGGTCACCATTGTAAAAGTCGGATGCGGGTAACCGGGTGACCGTAGGAAGGGGAAGTTCACACGTTTTCCATACCGATGCTTTGTACAACCAGGTTGAAAGGGTTGGATGAATATTGAATAGGGAGGAGTGAGGGTAATACCCAGGAGGCAGAGAGTCAAAGAGACAAAGAGAAGAATAGGAAAAGACTAAGCGGGTAAGAGCAGGGAATCACCCTCAAGGGTGCCCAGGTGGATATACCCGTCTTGGCATAGCCCTATAGGGCTGAGATATGCTTTTGGCAGCCGACAATACGTGTCCAAGGTAGATTGTGTACGATACCAACGTACTTTTAAAATTCATTCAATGTGGAAATTAACCCCCACTGGTATGATCCTTCCAGGCAATGCCTGTATTACGAGGCGGTACACCTAGCGATCTAAACATAGAAAAACTCAGGCAGCAGTGTAATAAAAGTTGAAAATACGCTCTAAAAATACATAGGGCTAATATCTATGCCTCTTTAGAAGGTTTAGGCCCATTCCCTTTGGATGTGCTTAACGCGCGAATTAGCTTGACGCCTGCGTCTGCCATGTCCCCTGAACGCGCGCTCCAGAACTGGGCCTCACGGTCGGACCCGCGAAGCACATCCACATCATTCCCCGGCTCCTCTTTGGTCGGAGATGGGGTATCATCACTCGATGGGCCTTTTTCATTCGAGCTGTATACATTGACCCGCTCGTTGAAACGCACCCGATGACGGGTCCGGCCGTTGGGCGAGCCCTGGGAGCCCTGAGAGCCGGAGCTGGGGGAAGAGTTTCTCGCCAGACTGGCCGCAAGATAATTTTTACGTACCGCATACCGACTAGCCTCTTCTTTTCGGATTGTGTCCGAAAAGATCTTCTCAAGGGCTGTAGAAGCAGTGAACCGCATTCCCAGGTAGACCTGCTCTGCCACAAACAACGTCAACAACAGCGAGGAGAGTCGTACCTCGGAAATAGGGCCCCGGTAGACATGCACAATGGCTGCTGTAGATAGCGTCCCCAGCCAAGCCAAGAAATCCAGCCCCAGTAGACATGGGCCGATTGAGTCGGATCGGATTGGCGGCGGTCGTTGGCACTCCAGTGTGAGCTTGAAGAAGTCACCTCGCAGCTCCAACCAGTTGTTCAGCAGAAACCCAAGCGGCACTAGTGGCCAAGCAACTCCAAATAATGCGAGATAGCCAAACTGTACACACATCTCCATGATGTCCTCTTCCACATGGTATTCCTCTGCGCCGGCCTCGCTGCGCAACCTTGTCATAAATGCAGCTTCGTCGGGTGGGTCCACCAAGAATAAGTCGGTTGCTGTGGAAAACTTCCGCTTTCGGCTGTATTCCGCCTTGCGATGCTGATAGTTTTGCCACTTCTGTCTCAAGACATGCTTTATATATGGTAGAACGACCTCCTCGCCAAAGCTAAATACCTGAGCTGTCATGGAGAGATAAATCACTTCCTGCTGGAATCGGCTTGTATCAACCTCGAATTCCTTCTGTCCGCTGACCAAGTCCGCCATGAAGCCCGTTCTTCGAAGGATATCGAGCCGGGGGATGATTTGTTTGCCGAAAGGAACATAGACATAAGCGGTCAATATCGTGGGGAGGAAAGAGGTGATAAAATTCATGACGAAACTCTTTTGAGTCTGGGCAAGGTCGTATTGATCTTGCGTTCGGTAGTTCTCGTACTCAGTTAAGCGGGTCGCGATGCTGGTGAGAAACGAGGTGATGGCGGGCAAGGATAACGAAAACAGAACAGTCGGTACGAATTCCAGATACCCCTTGAATGGACCGTCGTATACCTCGGATATGAACACCTCCGATGCGAAGGAAGCAACGATCAAGGCTCCGAGGGCCACGCTCGCAACAGAAGCAAACGGGACCAAAAGCAACTGGCGTGTGAATTGCTTCCAACCTGGGAAGACATGTTTCACCTGACCACTGATTGGGTCCTTGACCTCTTTCTCCCACACATACTGTTTGCGATTCACCTTTAGTCTTCCAACACCTTTGACATCCCATCTCTGGCTTAAATCGGCCTCTCGAACTTTCCAGTACTCGACGAACACAATGCACCAGGCGCAAAGTACGGTTCCATATACAATGGAATATGGACCTAGATATAGCCATCCAAGAATTCCCAATCCTGCAGGCACTACGAGGAATAGCGAATAGCAATGAATAAAAGCATAGTAGAAGGCGACCTGCTCAGGGTTAACTATTCGTCACAATATTACCATAGAATCGACTCAAGACCGACGGAGCTGGAACAATACCTTTTCACCAAATAAGGCTCGAATCGCATCCAGGTCGCTGGTTGTCAACACAGTTTTGCGATTCCATTGACGTAGCATTTCCGCACAGGCCTCCTGGTCGTGTAACGGAAATGAGGCAGTAACGTTTTCCCATTTCCCAAAGCCTGGTGTGATGCCTGCGCCTCCTATTTTCTTCTGCCAGGTGACGGCATGGTATACGGAACGGATCTCTTCGGATGGTGTATCGGCGTCGGCAATGGCTGTTTCGTCGCCGTCCGGTAGGGTATGGGTAATTCCAAACAGCCAATCTTTGATTCTGCGACATGTCAATTAGCCGTCCAAAGGGGAAAATGTTACATCCAAGACCACTCAACCCTCACTTACCTTGATTGATGCACTAAATTCCCTAAATGATCCCGCGGAACCCGGATGCAAACTAAAAGCGCTTGACCATGGCCATGACGAACCTGAACCCGAAGACCAGCCTCGTTCAGGTCGTTGATAAGCGTTCGAAATTCTGTAATAGCTTGCGCTTGGTCTATTGATCGTCAGCATGTGCTGAAGGCCAATGATCACCCATGCAGGCATGTTGTTTACCAATGTCTCCAAACTCATATTGTAATACCCAATCCACGCCCAGGTTATCGTAATCGTCTTCATTGCTATTGCCATACCCCGCAAGCCAAGACATGTTGGGAAGGTATGAGCAAGAGCAGGGTAAGAGATGAGGATGAAGGATAAAGGTTCAACAGGTTACATCAGAAGTCGGGAAGGGAGAATGTGGGGGATGATTACCTTGTTACTGTGTACGGAGTACTATTGTTCTATTTCCTTCTATTTTGTTTCCACGGGGGAAAATACCAGGATACAGTACAAAGTATGCATCATCCTTACCTGTTGATCACATCCACAGGTAGACTTCTCTCAAATATACAGCTAAGATTACGTTACAGAATTGTTTCCCTATTCCCGATCATCCGATCCCTACCGGTTATGCTTCCAGAGACGCGAATCAGCCCCCGCAAGCCAAGCTTCAGCCCTATAAGGAGGTTTTATTACAGGATCCAATTGGCCACCCAATCACAAGACACGTTCCGATCGCCTTCCCTTGCATGCTTGTCAAGAGTATTCCGATACCTTGCAAAGGTTGCAGGACATATTCGAGAACCTGTACTGTGACAGCTGACCCGAAGGATGATTGCACAGCGCTAGATCCACATCGGAGGGGGGGCGTACAGTTGTCAGATTGGTGGAAATTGGGCAGGGCTGAATGCAGAGCTTCGAACTTTGTGGGCAGATGAAAAGGCTCCGTATTCTGTACAGACACAATTCCCTCAACCGTGCAAAAAGAAATTGGGACAGCTATATTGTAGCACATTAGAGAGAAAAAGAGAGTGTGCTTGGCAGGGCAAAACGGTTGAGCAAAATGCTGCTGCCTACCGCTTCCCGCCAAGCCTCGATTTTCAGGAAACCCACATTTTATTGGAGATCTGCTATGTACGGTGAAAAAGTGTCGAACATTGGCGCCAAGTGTGGAGGATTGAAAAAACTTGAAAAATGGGCACAGGCATCAACATTCACGGGCTAAAAACAGTGCTAGGAGCATAAATGTTGGGAATGGCAGTGCCCATACATCCGGTCCTTCCAGGTACATTGCTATAAGTATAATGAGGTAACATGTGCCGGAGCACAATGAGATCATTTCCAACTCCATTATTCTTGAGTGAACGTCAATCACGTCCCTAGTGGCTTGGCTACCGTATGTCCTCAATCGAGATCATGGCCCGTCGAGTTCTCCGGGGGCAAAATGTCACCCTCGGATTGAGCGTCTTCATGTTTATTTTCATGTTTCTGCCGACCTTTTTGATTCTCCTAGCGGTCATCGTATTCTTTGGGCTAGTGTATCCACGATTGCGGAAGTCGTATAGTCTTGAACATGAACAAGAGACGGAATCCCGGCAGCCAGAGGTCAAAGGTTAAATGACGATCGGAGCATGGTATGACCATCTTCAATGCGCTAGATTACGCTTATCACTGACGTGTGTTGAGATGCCATCTGGGTGTAATATCAAGCCCCATTACCGAGTCCACGAAATTCCACTGACGATTCTCTTTGTGTCGGATCTATGACACTGTGCCGCGACCAGGCACGGTATTTCAAAGGCGTTTTGGATTGTATATTTATGGGGTAAAAGAATCCCGAACGTTTGATGGTTGTTTCGGTCGATAATATCGATTTTCAATCAACTATATATAAGATCTCCATGATCAAGGATCTACAATAGATGTAATATTATAACAGATCCCTTTCGTCAACTTTCTAGAAACATTATACATCTTTCTATGCTCCGAAAAATTAAAATAAATCGGAGATATCATAACGTAAATGGCCAAGAATTCGGGGCTGTTCCGGGTATCGAACCTCGGAAGGTCACTGACGTCCCCTATTACCTCCAAATGATTGGATGCATTCATTGAATTTCTCCGTACAATGTACATCATATGAAATTGGCACCTGGGCAGTTCCGCTTGACACACCGTTGCATAAATCTAATGGGTAGTGCTGGTACGCTCTTCACGTGAAGCGCTCTTTCCAAAAAGGTTCTTTTTCCCCTGATCGGTTTTCCACCTGTAAGCACCTTGGATAGACATCAAAACCTCGTATCCCCGAAAGTCCAACTCTAGGGAATGCAATGGGTTGAATAGACTCGTCGTCATCCATGGAAGTTCGATCATCCAGACTAAGGAGCAGCACTCCCTGAAAAGGACACCCAGATCAACACCTGATGGCATCAGATCAACCCATCAGGGTACCAAGAATCTCCCCCACGTCTATTCTGCGCAGTCGATAAGATGGAGACAAAACAAGAAAAGAAGCTGGCAGCCGACCAGCCGCTGTTTGATCGGTTTAGCTTCTTTTCGTCAAAAACGCGACAAGCGATCGCCTCGTCCACCTGGGATGGTCTGTTCCCCAGCGGAAACATCGACCATATCTTCCAGGAGAAACATAAAAGTCGTCCCGATCCCAACGAACCGATTTGGTGGATTGACATCCGCGACGCCACTGAACAAGATGTCGACGCTGTCTCGCAAGCCTTGTCCATCCATCCCCTGACGGCGGAGGATATTGTTATTCGTGAACCTCGAGAGAAAGTTGACGTCTTCAAGAATTACTACCTGATTTCGTTCCAGACTCTCGTGGAAAACAAGGCCAAAGGGGAGCGACCGGGGGTTCCCATCTCGGCTGCATTATACATTCTTGTCTTTCAATATGGCGTGGTCACCTTCTCGCCTAGTGGTTGTGGACACGTCGTTCGGGCGCGAGAACGGATTCGTAAAATGCATGATCCCTCTATATTGACTAGCGACTGGGTTTGCTATGCAATGATGTACGTTCAATCAATTTTCTACCTGTGAACTGTCTCTCCAATGGACCTTACTAATCAATCTATAGAGACGAAATCATCGATAGCTTCGAGCCATTTGTTCGGGAGGCGGAGCGTGAGTCCGAGGCAATCGAGGATCAAGTCTTCATTAGTCGCATCGACGACGCCCAAGCTCTCATTCCGCAAGTCGACGTTCTGCGCAAGAAAATCACTCACATCATCCGCTGCCTCAATGGCAAGGTCGACGTGTTGAACGGATTTGTGAAGCGCTGTCAGTCGCCTGACAAGCACCCTGTCTTCCCCGACGGTGATCTGCTTCTATATCTCGGCGATGTTCAGGATCATTTGGTCACAACGTTGTCGACTCTCGGGCACATCGATGAGATTATTGGTCGGTCCCAGGCCAATTATCTGGCCCAGATGAGCGCTACAAATCTCCGATTGAGTTTAACCATCAACTCTGGTTTGAGCAAGGTCACTCTTCTGGCTACTATCTTCGTGCCGTGCCACCTAGTTACGGGTCTGTGGGGAATGAACGTCCCTGTCCCGGGGCAAGATGCTAATGGGCTGGCGTGGTTTCTTGGCATCCTGGGTGGTTTTGTGGCATTTATGGTTATTTGTATCGGCGTGGCTGTGAGGTATAAACTCCTGTAGATATCGAGGCTGATGAATATGTTTAGCTCAATATAGATTTTTGACAGAGACACATTTATGGTATCATTGCATACCTTTGCATCAGAAGTGCCATACCGAATTCGTCAAAAATGAGATTTTGTAGGACTTTCTCGTGCTACAATAGTTGGGAGGCCCGAATGATAACATATCGATTCTGGTCAGAGCAACGTTATCCCACAATCGCAGTTATTGTGCCGATGAAAACACATTGAATCTATGCAAAAACATAAATCAGGCATAGCGTCAGCTTGACATTTCCCCTAGTTGCGCAATCCATTGATCATCACTTTTGGTGCTGTATCTACTTCCAACCTTTGTATGCTATCAGTGATATGCCTGTGAAGATGTGCTGGGTTTGGCTTATAGTATTGCTGTAGGTTCACCTAGAGATTTCCTCGCCGATGGACCGCTTAAAGGTGCTGGAGGGACTGTGCATGTGGAGACCTTCATGACAAGCATCTCTTGGCACAAGGCTTAGATTTTGTGGGGGAGTTAGGGGTCAGTTGTCGCTCCAACTTTGTCGCTGAAGCAGAGTTTCGATGGCTATATGGATACCGCTGCTTAGGTGTAGAATTTGGCTTACCCTACAGAACCTTGCTCTTGAAAGGCCCAGTGTGAAGTTCACATGCTTTGTGACTGCACAGTTGCGAATTGGTCTTATCGGCGTCTTGCATATCCTGTGCACTCAGTGATTCCTCTTTGGTCTGTTCGCTACATGATATTCCGGTTCAGTCGGAAATCAGGCATATGAGCCGGCGTTGGCGCCTGACCCTCAATTCTCCCCAGAAGCGATAAACCTACCACATCTATCTTTAGGTTTTCCACTCCGTATATTGACGTAGATAGACGCCCAAGACTGCATTGTATGCTTTGTGTTCCCTTAGTATCGCATTGAAGGTGCGCCGAGTTATAATCATTTTGAATCCATAGGTATGTGGACAACAGTTCCACAAAGCAGGCGATTGGTGTCCACCTTGGAATGAGTCAGACTGGAGGAGACATCTGTAGCATCCAAAGATGGTAGGTTGTGGCTGTGCACAGCCACAAGTGTGGATAGGGAGTGGGGCTAATAATACTCCACAGCCAAAACATGCAGGACTATATTCATCCATGTCATCCGTACCCGGAGATTACATGGTTGTATTCCGTAGAATGGACATGTGTGAAGTTTCTCTGAGAATACAAATGACCTCATTTCCAGTTGGTGAAACACGACAGCACACGTAGACGTAGATCGTACATCACATGTGGTACATTGATGTACGGATGCCTCCTTACTCCATCCTCTTGTAGAATGCCTAGCATCCGACAAGAACAAGCGAAAACAAGGCCTCGTGCCAATAATAATCACAGCAAAGCATGGCAGCCTAATGGTTGATTGTGACAATGGTTAACCAATAATGTCCATCGGCTCAATGGTAGACCATGATTTCCCGCCTCTCGCTCTTGGCATCCTTATAGGGAGATTCGTGGAGAACGCGTCATTCGTTAGATTGAGTTCTGACACAGTTGCATATGGAAGCCCAATATATTAACGACCCCTAGAATTTTAGAATTGGCATCATGCTAGGGATGTATGACGAAAGAGCAAAGATTGAGAATGTATTGTTTATCGAAGGTTGCCCAGGTGCGAAACATTCCTTGGAAAGCTCTCAGAGTGATCCACCTCTCCAGGGCTGAGACGAAAGAAAAGTGGAAAAAGTGTGGCGTTAAGCCATTCATCATGCCAAGGCGCCAAGATCTCAAATAAGTCTGGCCCTGTTCCAAGTTCCCCCTTAAGAGACTGCAAAACTCGCGTTGTCAACTGTCCACTTCACTTTTTTTCCCCCTATCATCTACTGTCTTATCATCAAAGGCTTGTTGCCTTCTTTCATCCGTCTGTTTTCCCTGAAATACATGCGTAAGTGGTGCCCAGAGAGGGATCTAAGCTATAGCTATAGCTATGTATAGCTATCCCGAGAACTTTAACTTCAGCTCTTGAGTACCCGGCTAACAATGCTCCCTTCTGCAGACCGGATTCACTCGTGGGCGAAAGCTCACGCATCCTCTAGCGGCCTGCCAGATCAGACTCCCTCTCAACAGGCCGCCGACCCTGTTCATACCGAAAAGCCTCTTCAACATGGAGAAGTGAATATACCAGTGGAGGAACCCACTCCAGGGTCCCTCACGGAAAACGACTCAAAGCCGGGTTTTCTGATCCGTATGCGAAATGGCTCCGGCCGTTTCTATCACCATACCAAGGATGCGGTCTGCCACAGCTGGATTAATGTTCTGTTGATCTTTGTGCCGGTCGGCATCGCCTGCGAGGCCGCGGGTCTTAACCCAGCCATCATCTTCGCAATGAACTCGGTGGCCATTATTCCCCTGGCTGGATTGCTCAGTCATGCCACGGAGAGTGTTGCCAGCCGTCTTGGTGACACCATTGGAGCCTTGATCAACGTCACTTTCGGAAATGCAGTCGAATTGATCATTTTCATCATCGCTCTAGTCAAGGACGAGATTCGCATCGTTCAAGCTTCTCTTCTTGGCTCAATTCTCGCCAATCTGTTGTTGATCATGGGCATGGCATTCCTGTCTGGTGGTCTTCGCTTCCGAGAACAGATTTATAACAGTACCGTTACTCAGATGAGTGCTTGTTTACTCAGTTTGAGTGTGATGAGTCTCCTCTTGCCCACTGCCTTCCACGCTTCGTGGTCGGATAGCCGCGATGCTGATCGCGAGACTCTCAAGGTCAGCCGTGGTACCAGTGTCGTTCTTCTCCTGGTGTATATTCTCTACATCATCTTCCAGCTTAGAACACACTCGTATCTCTACGCTAGTATCCCCCAGGCTATCATTGACGAGGAGTCCAAACCCGGTGTCTTGGCAGACTTCATGAACAGCTCTTCCGACTCCTCATCTAGCTCTAGTGATGAGTCGGATGACACTACAACTTCCTGGACTACCGCCAAACGGATCAAAAGAGCAATGAAGTACCGCAGACATCGAAAGTCAAGTACAAGCTCGAAAGGGACAACATCTCGTAATTCCTTCCAAAAAAAGGCCATGGCGTCGACTTCCGATGAAAACCAGGCTTCCATTGATGGCAATGAGCACGCCATTGAGCTTAGTGACGAAATTCGCTACGACGCCGATGAAGATGTTCAGTCCTCTTCTGCAGTCCGGTCTCGCGACTTTGGTTTGGCTCTGAGCCGTATGGACAGCAAAGCGAGCAAAAAGTCGAACAAACGGGATCGCAAAATGCGCAAGGCCCGGAAAGCAGAGAAGAAGGCTAAGATCGCTGCCCCCCCAGGATAATGGACCCTCGCCTGATCAACGTCCGGCACTTATGGCATTCCCATCCGCCCCTAACTTCGGTGGAGTTGAGGGTGCAGGAGAGGATTCCCGGAAACGCCGTTACCCTTTCGGACCTATTCCGTCTCTACTTTCCAACACTGTTTTCAGCTCCCAGTCACCAATGGGCTCTCCCTACATCGGATCCAATGCCGCGCGCCCAGGAATTTCTCGCAGCAACTCGCTCCCTGCACATATCACTCGTCCTCCGCCGGCCGGAAACGCGGTGCAGTTCGCGCGTGGTGCTGCTCGTCTAGCCGACCCGAACAATCCCGTGGTTCCAGACACAGCTCCCCAAGTCCCGGAACCCACAATGTCACGTACCGCTGCTGTTGTCATGCTCTTACTGTCCACCGCTTTGGTTGCTGTTTGCGCTGAATTCCTGGTTGATGCTATTCCCGAAATGATTAAAAGCTCAAACGTTAGCGAAGCTTTCATTGGTCTCATCATCCTACCCATCGTTGGCAATGCAGCTGAGCATGTTACTGCCGTTAGTGTCGCCACTAAGAACAAGATGGATCTATCGATCGGTGTGTCTGTTGGCAGTAGTATTCAAATTGGTAAGATCCCATTCGTCCTCGAGGACGTGTCTAAATGTGCACATTCTGACCATTGCAACAGCTATTTTCGTCACACCACTGGTCGTGATCTTGGGCTGGTGTATGGACAAGGACATGTCTCTCTACTTTACGCTATTCGAGACCATTTGTCTCTTTGTGACCACCTTCGTTGTCAACTTCCTCGTCTTGGACGGACGAAGCAACTATCTAGAGGGCGTCCTCTTGATTGCGGCCTATATCATCATTGCGTGAGTTTATCCCTCTCCTTGATGTCCCTTCAATGTACTAACTACTCTCAGTCTATCTGCCTACTTCTACCCGCGAAATGACCAATCAAGTGTTATCGCCGGCTCAGGGGGATAGTCCTAAACATGTGGTGATGAGATGTTGAGGGTGGATTGTTTCCACAGTCAAAAGGTCGGTGCGCTGATTGGTCTACTTTGATTGCTAGCTGGATCGCCATTCATAGCCACACGATCATAATATCACGATCCTTCACGTCGAATTGATTTACCCCTCCCCCCCTCAATCGTAGTAGGCAAGTCTGTAACAGCGCACGTAGTACCGTCAGGATTATGAAATTGATGACTTGTTTTCAAAAATCCTTCTCTTACGGCAGATTGCTGGTATTTCTGGAATTTGATTTGCATTGAACCCAAGCAACACTCATTGAAGGAAACACGGGGAGTGCCCCATATGGCCGATCGTTATGTGTAGTCCGCCCCCCCGGATGGCCCCGCGCAGACTGGGTCCAGGCCGTTCTTGTTCTACACGAGATTTCAGCGAAAGTCCGAGGTCGGATGCCGGCGCATACGTCGTATGTATACGCTGGACACGTAAGTCAAAAGAGACGTGGAAACATCACTAGATAAGGGGCCTCAATTGGCATTTCTATAGATGGGAACATCGATGAGAGAATAGGGCAAGATCTATCATTCCAAATAGAACGTAGAAAATATCGCAAAAGTAGTCCGTAGGAGAGAGGCCATTGCAGGTACCTGATAGATCGTTCTTGTCAGGTCGCCTCAGGGACCCAAAGTCTTGGCATAGAGAGATCAACATTACTGTACTCTGTCCGGAGTATGAGGGTCACACGCGCTTCATACTGTACGGAGTACTCCGTACATGGTATGCATGTTGTGGATAGCAATTTTGACCCCCTACATGCATTAGCTGCTGATTTGACTCAACATTGAAACCGATTGCAACATTGACGGAGCACATGTAAAGGAAATGTGCCAAGCCTCAATCCCAATATCCACCAGCCACGTGTGTGCCAGTCAGTGGCTGTGTTTTCCACCATTTGGTTACCTGAGCCACATCGTGGCTCGGCGGTAGCCTGATAGGTCGATTTTATCCCGCAGCCCATTCTCCCCCTATAGAGGGGAAAATCTCCATTCTCCCCCTATTTTTTATTGATGCTGTACAGAGTCTACAATTACCAATAGAGCCCCTTTTATGCCAATTGTCCGAGCCTTGAACTTGTCAAGCTCCTGGGTGGAGCAAAAAAAAACGCTCCTGATCTGGCTATAACACAACCTCTACTCCGTACTCCGTACACCGTTTGGTATATGTGGCTCATTTGTGATACACTAACATCCAACAGGGGCACTTGGCATGCCGAAATTGTATTGGTCATTTGGCTAACGAGCCCTGCAAGGCGATAGGATTGTCAATCTGACCACCCCTCCAGGGGCTCGTGGAGCATTTGATATTGCATCTGCCTAATCGGAGCACAAACTTGGGCGCTAACATGTAACTCCTCAGAAGTGGGGGCAGAATTATAGTGTTAGACAAATATTGTGTGGAGTTGTTTATTTCGGTTCTGGTCGGAAGGTGATGGTCTACAACGGTGTTCTTTACGCTTCTTTCCCATAAAAGCCCTCCTCCCCTCGCATTCTCAGGTTTCATCTATTTACTTCTTCCTCCAAACACACTCATCATGTCTTACGCTCCTCCTTACGGTGACCCATACGCTCGCCCTCCCTCAGATCGTCCACCATACGACCCCTACGGACGCCCACCTTCTGATCCTTATGCGCGTCCCCCTCCCCAAGATGGATATGACCGTCCAGCATACGACCGAGGCCCATACAGTGCACCCCCGCCTCAATCTCGTCCCCCTCCAGGCCCCCCGCCTCCTCTGCCCCACGGCTGGTCCCAGGAATGGGAACCCAATTGCCGTCGTGCATTCTATGTAGAACACGCCACTGGTCGATCCCAGTGGGAAACACCTTACCAAGACCCCGGCTACTCTGGGTACAATGATGGCTCTCGCAGTGTTCCTCCTCCCGAGTCCCAGGGATACTATGCGCCTCCCCCTGGCCCACCCGTGGGTTACGATGATCGTAGCCCTGGCTACTATCACGACGAGCAGAAGCCTGAGAAGAAGAGCAGCAATGCTGGTGGATACCTCGCAGCTGGCGCTGCTGGTCTGGCTGTTGGCGGTATCGCCGGTGCTTTGATCGCCAATGAGATTAGTATGTGATATCTTTTGCTTCGATTGATTTGCTTTTATTTCACATGCTAACTATTCCTCCAGACTCGGATGATGAAAAGTCAGACCTTGAAGAAGCTTACGAGGCGGGCCGTCGTGATGAAGAAGAGGCTCATGAGTCAGATCACAGTGAGCACAGTGATGGTGGCTGGTGATTGTCTTCACCCATGGGCTGTTGCTTGAAGATCAATCGTCACTGGATCGTTGTTCAAGATTTGCATACTTCTTTGCTAGGATTTATGGTTGCGTTTTGCGAGAGTTTTGCATCCTTACATCTGCTGTTCCTTAACATTGCATCGATATATTTCTTCACTATCATTTTAAATCCTCAATCAGCTTAAAGACATTGTCTCTTCATTCTACTTCCAGCACAATATCTGCCCATGCAGCAAACCGAACCAGGCATCTTCATCTTCTACAAACTGCCTCCACCCCTTTGCAATAACTTCCAAATCCTCCGACTCTGCAAAGCCCTCCCCAACAACGTTCTTCGCAAACCCAGAGGATCTAGCCCTCTCTTCCATAGATCCACCCCAGTACGCCCTCTCCTCATCACTCCCAAAACACCACGCCCCCCGCACTCCGCTTCACACTCCTACTGTCGAAGCCAGCCTCACGTGCCCAAACATGAATCATCCTCCCCGGATGCGGATTGCCCCCTTTAGCACGTTGCATGCACTCCGTAACCTCACGCCACTTGGCGATCCCCACCGACTCGGGATACCAGCTCAACTCTGCCGACTCGCGGCACGCAACAATCCCGCCGTGCTTAGCGACTCGCCGCATTTCCTTCAGCGCATGAACCGGATCCGTGATATGTTGCAGAACCTGATGCGCATGCACCATGTCAAAGGTATTGTCCTCGAACGGCAGCGCGTGGATGTTTCCTTCTTGAAAGGTAACGTTTAACACGCCTTCAGCTTGGGCAAGGGCACGTGCGCCTTCCAGTGGATCGGGAACATATTCGACGCCCGTTACATGTCCAGACGGGACATGCTTTGCCAAGGAAATTGTGATTGAGCCAGGTCCACAGCCTACATCCAGGATTTTCATGTCTGGTTTGAGGTGTGGAAGGAGGTATGGCGCGGAGTTGGAAACTGTGCGCCAGCTGTGTGTGCGGAGCACTGAGGCTGCGTGGTCTGTTGTATAGACTTGAGACATATTCAATGGATTTCAATTGGAGTTGTAATTTTTTTTGGTTGAGAGTGTGTGTTTGAATTGGATGGGAGATTTTATAGTTGCGGGGATCTGGACCTGCTTCGGAATTCCGTAACGATCATTGATGTAAGCCATTCCTGGGCTTTGGTAGTCACAACCTAAGGTTAATTCAACACCACCAATCTAGGACATGTAATTATTTTCCTTGGCTGTTAGGAACACTCGTTCTAAATTTATACATTAATCTTTTGGAATTTGAATTTACGCTCAAAAATCAAAGATACCTAGGACACAACGTTAGAGACTTCAAACTGGCCTCAACGGCACATATAAACCTGTACCTAGTATTTTACACATACGGTTGAGCAGATTGAAAATAGTAGATATGTATCTCTTTAGGTAAACAATATTGCTATGTTTGAACTTTGAACACCTCCGTACAAGTAATGACTTCATGGCTTGGCATTTGCGGAACTCCGAAAATCTTCACGGAATTCCGAAATCTCCTCTTCTATTCAAGATGGACGGAATCTCGGGTAAAACTGGGCCATCAACCCCCACCTCATCTCGAATCCCCCGTACTTCGCGAACGCGAAAAAAGGCATGCCGAAAATGTGTAGCAGCCAAAACTGCGTGTGATCTCAGAAAGCCGAAATGTAAGCGATGCAGAGATCGCGGCACGAGTTGTGAATACCCAGCGCTTGGTGAACCAACAAGTGATGGCAATGAAGAGACTCAATATGCTACTGTGAACACCAGCCCTTTGAGCAATATCTCCAATGCTCTCTCCATGGATTCCACATGGCCAGGGGGTCTGGTTAAACACACTGCGGATATATCTCATACCCTAAATAACTCTATCATCACGGGTAGTGGACCAGCTCTTTCAGGATCCACTGTTGTACTAGACTTCCAACAACTCGATCTAGCGCCTATGATCGATGCCGAGGAGATTCGCGATCGCTGGCTACGTCCCTACATCTCAAGCTCGACGGGCCAAGAGCCCAAACAGTTGAATTATCACACCATACAGTATCTCACCTGTGTGTTGAAATCATATCTCAGGAATCTACTCGATTCAATTGCACCACCTTTCCTTCACTCAATGCAACAGATGGGGGCTTGCCCACCTGTCCTGGCTTCCTGCTTCACCTTGGTTCGGACGTGGTTGACTCGGATTCCTGGATGTGAACCTTTGATTCTGGGGACAATGCGAGCAGAGATGAAGAAAATCGAAACACAGGTATGTTGCCGCTTTGATTTTCCTTATATGCCAACCTAATTGGATATAGAACGCCCTTCAAAGCGACTTCGACAACCTATGCTCGTTCCAGGCGTATCTCATCTACTCCATGACCATACATTTCTTTCCTGGTACAGAGACTGTCGATGAACCCCACGCTTTCGATAATCAAACACAGATAGAAATGCAAGAAATAGCTTTCCGATCCGCCAAAGGAGGTCTTATCTGTAAAGCAGAAGAATCCCAGACCCGCCCGAACTGGGAGTCATGGATAGTCGCGTCTGCCAAGCGCCGTACCATTTTTACCATGTATCTCTTCACCAACGTCTACAATACCCAACTCGGGCTGCCAAACTTTGTTGCCGAAGAATTGAGAGGGACTATGGCACCAGAAGGCAAAATACTCTGGGAAGCCTCAGACCGTACCGTTTGGGAAAGAGAATACAATCGGCACTTGTCTCGCTGGGAGGACGGGATGCTTGAGATATCAGAGCTATGGAAGTCTGCTGAAACTGGGACAGATGCCCGGCGGGAGAGGATCGAGCGGTGGTTGCAATCTGCTGATGAGTTTGGGATGATGTTCTTTTCTGTTTGTGCGCATATTCATGGATGCTAGACGCATTGATTTACGCGTCCGATTGGAGCACGAGCAAATTGAAATTCAAGATACTAGCTAGACATCAGGACACAGTCATATGAAGCAAAAAAGGTGCGTTGTGTGGTTTCATTGCTCTGTTGTGGTACATCTCATACTCGGTCTAAACGTACTCAGAAGTGATAACTCATCTCCTTCAATGCCCCTTGGCCATCTGCTCAGCTGAAGAATCCAGAACATCCTTGATCACCTTCATAGACGTCATGCGTTCATACCACTCCTTCTCGTTCGGGAACTCGTCGGCATTGAATCCATCATCGACAAAATGTGTGTGTGCCGTCAATTGCCAAGCAATGAACGCTACATCAGCGTACGACATCTTGTTGCCGACCAGCCAGGGACCATCTCCGACACCCTTGTTGGCCTCCTTCTGCTTGCCCAGCCACGAATCGAGCACGCCCGTCACGCGCTTCGTTTCGTTAATATAACGGTTGACTGCACTAGGGACTTTCTCCGCGTGGAATCTTTTAAACCAAAATGCTTGTCCGTAGTATGGACCCTGGCCAGAGATCTGGAGATAGAGGAACGAGCGTGCAAGCTCAGCCTCTGCGCTGCGCGGTGTGAAGCTCAGCTTGCGTGGTTCAGCGGTGTCGTAGCGCTCTATGAGGTACTCGACGATGGCACCGCTCTCCCAAATAGTCAGATCGGTGTTTGGGTCATGGATCGAAGGTAGGCGTCCGTTGGGATTGATTGCTGTATACTCGGGATCCTTGACTTTCGCGAAGGGAACTGGTACAGCTTCATATGGTACTTCGAGGAGTGTGAGGATGAGGCCGACTTTGAGGGGATTGGGGCCCAAGATGCCACCGTAGAGCTGAATGGGTTTGATTGTGGATGCCATTTCTGGGATTCAATTGTGATTGAAATTTGAATGACAAGTGTGATACCATGTTTGCGGCGATGAGTATCGGCTTTATAAATCTGATACCCTGTCTCCAAGTGACGGACTGAAGACACCTTCCCAGCCCTGTCTAAGTTCAGCGTTGACTGATCTAGTCCCTATATGGTTAGTGGGCTCCAAGGTCATGAATTTGACTTTCGGACCCTACATTTCCGATTAGCAATCACTGTCTGTTTTAGTTCCGACAACCGTCAGATTTGTAACCCTCCGCCCTCGTTCGTCCGTTCTTTGTCCGAATGTCCTTGAGGCCAATCATCATCAAAGAATATGAGGTCTCACAATTATTAATTTTCGGGGGTGCATCTTGACCTGCAATACGGAGTTGATGTTATTCCACTGCCGAGACTCATGGACAGTGGACCTCCCGGGTGATCCCGAGATCCAACCATGGTTCTCAATTTGGCAGAACCTCAGAGTCGATCGTTTATAGTATTGTAAGTTTCCAAGGAGGTGCTTTGACAGCTCACTATATAGTAACAGTCTGGACAGGCTGTGTAAAGGGCTGTGTAAAGCGACCTTGTTCATAAATATGGATGTAGAATACGTATCATGCGACCCATCAACAACCCACACTCAAGTATATGCAATCACGCCGGGGGCAGAGATCACACTTACTTTGCGACCCATGCCTCCTAACCCTCCTTCTATGAGTTGACATACATAAAGATTGTTGCAGTAATAAATGGTGTGAAGGATCGGAAACTATGGAGTGTCCAAAGCGGTTTCCCTATTCGCAATGTCCTATACAATATACACTCCCAGGACATCCAGGGTCCATAGATGTTCCTTCCATTTTGGGCGGTCGAAGGGGGTACACACCGCCCAGACCATAACCCCGCATTTTTGTGACTTGGATCGTTCTATTCACCGTCGCACTTTTTGTACTTTCTCTTCTCATCTACACTTCCACTACATCTATCTGCAGCCTACACACTAAAGTCACAATGTCCTATCTTCCGTTTCAACCTTAGCCTCCACCCAGATCTACAGGTTCAGTCGACTCTTGTGAACTAACGCGCTCCCGCTGACTTCCCACAAACGTATTCCAAAACATCCTATATTTTCATATCCACACAACGTATACCTTCTCTTGCTTATCTCAATATTCATCTACAACACTTCGGTATCAAACCCCGACGATGACAAGTTCCCACATCCTCGCAAATGTGCGGGTGTCAATTGTTGTTTGCCTCTAGATACCTAAAACAACGGAGACCGATATAGCATGTGGGCAGTTTCATTCGTCTGTCTACGTGATAAGGCTGTCTCCTACATTCAAAATATGTACATAGCTCTCGACCATACGAATCACCCTATGTTTTCAAGTGTAAATTTCATATCGAGGTCAAATTCATCGTCTAGGTACATGCCACAAAGTTGTTACCGCTGGCACCAGTGTGAGTGATAACGCCAGCCAACTTGTTACTACCGTTGAAGATAACACGGTCGGCACCAGGGGAGCTACCACTGTAGATCTTGCCACTGCTGAGAATGGGGAATTCGTAGTAGGTTCCTGAGACGGGGAAGTCGAAACCCTCGTAGTTGTGGTACTCGTGGGGGTAGTTGTTGACATCGTCATTCGTGGATTCGAGCTCATAGCCTGCGTCTTGGGCAGCGCTGATGGCACTGCTGGTGTAGCAGACTTTACCACAGGTTGCGGCACATGCACGGGCTTCCACCTCTACCGGGGCGGCGAGAGCGCTGGAGATGAAGAGGGTGGCCAGAGCCAAGATCTAGGATTTGTGTTAATAGTGGATAATGTTGATATGAAGGGAAAGTCTTACCTTGGTGTACTGCATTGTGGTGAGGATTTTGACTAGGAGACTTGACTGCTTAGTTGGCTCTGAAGATTCCTGACTTGTAGACCTTCAAATCTCCTGGGAATTATGATTGTTTAAATATAAGTCGCCGGAGGTCACCCCGGACTGCGAAGAGAATCTACTCGCTATCCACGCGATGTTACATTCCGTACATCTAGCCATGTTGGTATCTTATTGGCAATGGCATGCTGCAGGTCCAAATGATCAATTAACGACCACCATACCCGAATGAGAGACATTCGCCGAGCGGCAACTCTGAAGTATAGAAGTCAAAGCGAGGTACAAGACAGTCCGGATTGGTTGATTAGGGACGTGAAGAATCGAGTGGTGCTACGACTCCGGATTACTGAAGATGCGCCCTATCCGAGAAGGCGATCGACGGGGGTCATTCTGGAAGGGGCGCTTTTAGACTCCACCTGAATCCACAGGGGTCTCTGTCTATCGGACCAATCGCACTGTCAGTCGCCGGCCACGATGTTGATCTAATGGTCTATTACTCAGCGGGAGATGTCCCCGGGTGGGGTTAAACATCTCGCTGTCGGTATTCGAAAACGGAGTGAAGGAACAGCTATTCTTGGAAGATTTATGTTCATCTAATTGTCCTCAACATTCAACATATTCAACATATTTGCTCTTCAAGATAAGGAACTTTCCTCAATTGTGCTTCACATATATTGTTTCCCCTCATGTGTCCCCGCGCGCCGACGGTCTCCGTGCTGATCGCTTGAAGTATGATATCTGGCCCGCTGCGGGCTGATTAGATCGCACGGTTTGTTTCTTGGTTCTATCTGTTGTCACTCGCACAAGGTCATATTCGGCAGTTTATCTTTACACGATAGGAAGTACGAAGCAAATCAAGTTCAATTGTGTCACATGCTAGTCTGCTGGCACTTCAAACAGTTGCATATAACCGAGAGGTAGATTCGGGTTGTATATAAATGGGTATACGTAGTATAAGTTGGAGGGTGATTTGTCTACCCTATAACAACGGAACAGATGCGAGACCACCACGTGGCGACCTTTTAGGAGACTCTGGTTCTTCCAAATCAACCTGCTCCCTCCGCCCGGTCCAGAGATCCATGTCTTCGAGCCGGACGACACGTGTTCTATTCCAGAACTTATACACAATCACGAATAACACAAAAACGGGGATCAGGATGTAGTTGATCACAAAGTCAGTCGAGCTGAAGGGGTTGAGGAAGCAAGTATATCCCTGGAAGAAGATAAGGAACACGTTTGCTGCCAGCGAGAGGTAGGTGCCATATGGGTAGAAGAGAGCTCGGAATGGGAGCTTTGATGGGTCTTCGCCTTGCGCGACCAGGGCTTGCCGAAATCGAATATGTGCAAGTCCTATTACCGACCAAACAATAAAGGTGGCAACTGTACTGTGTTAGCACGGAACAATGGTGTTTCTGCGAAAAGACCGGGAAGTAAAACATACCTCCTGAAAGAGTGATTAATGCGGAGTAAACGCGCCCAGCACTAGAGGACTGCTCCAAAAATACAATGCATGCGAAGACGTTGGTTACTACCAGGCCCACCCATGGGACTCCTAGGCGATTGGTCCGGCCAATGAACTTGGGAGCCTTTCCATTGCGAGAAAGGAAAAGCAGTGTCCTAGATGCCACATAAAGCGAGCTGTTTCCTGCAGAAATGACACTGATCACGATGAGGGCGTTAATGAGGTGAGCGGCCGGGAGGATCCCAGCATCCTCTAACGAGATTGTCAGGGGAGAGCTGGCTGTCTTGGATGACGTGCCCAATAATCTCTTATCATTCCATGGGATGAGCATTCCAATAAAGAATATAGTACCTGAATACAGTTGAGTATGGATTCCGTCTTCTGTTTCAATGTGAACTTACCAACGTAGAAAATCAAGATACGCCAAAAGACCTGCTTGATAGCCTTGGGTACTGCTTTTTCGGGATTCGCTGATTCTCCGGCGGTGATACCAACCCTAATTTAACAGTGAGCTTTGCAATTTCCCGCCGCTTTGAATGTTGGAGAACATACATCTCAGTCCCGGCATACAATGTTCCCGCAACAACAAAGGTCTTTGCAACACCATTGATTGAATCTGCAAACGCCCCGGGGGCATGCCAATATTGAAATCCAATAGCACGCGGGCCAATGCCACCTGCGCTGATGCAAATGGCGAGAATGAAAAATACAATCAAGGCCAAGACCTTGATGCTGTAGTATATTAGCCAAGTTGATGCGTCAAGTTCAAGCAAATAGAAACTTACAGAGACAGCCAAAATTCCATCTCGCCATAGGCCAAAATCCCCAGATTCGAGAGGGTAAGGAACATCACCCAAAAGATTAAGATCCAGCCCCATTGCGGAACAACATCTGTCCAGTACCCAATAACCAGAGATATCGCATTGTATTCATTTGCGAGTACCTAGAGTGTGGGGTTAGCAAGGGAACCATTCATAATACGAAAAATACTCAGTGTAGTATGTCGTACAGTCACCCACAAGTACCAATACGCCCACCCCAATGCAAACGCCAGAGAGTCATCAATAAAGCGCTCAGCATACTCGGTGAACGATCCAGTCACAGGGATCAGCGTAGCCATCTCACCCAGCGATTGCCTATAATCATTAGAATCCTTCTTGAAACTAAAGAATGTACTCCTTACATGACAAAGAAGACGATAATGCCGACCAGTGAGAAACTAATCAAAGACCCCGCGGGTCCACCATCGTGCAGGGCTTTGCCCGAGCTCACTAGCAGACCAGGACCGATAATGCCTGGAAATCCAGAGTACTTTGATCAGCAAGAACCATACAAAAGCACTGCGACCGCAAATTCACCTCCAATAGCAATCATCTGTAGATGTCTAGACTTGAGCTGGCGTTTTAATGGTGTAGACAAAGGATCTCTTCCAGTCTCTTCATCCAATCGGTTCTCCGATCGGATGCTTTTTGTAGCGCCATCCTGAACGGGTCCCCTGTATGTCACATTGAAATCCGTTTTGTCCGTCATATTGAGAAATACTGCATAAATGCAAGAGCACTCAAATTTGTAAGAAGAGTTGTTTTTTTTCCCCCTACAAGAACGTGGACGATGTCGCTTGGAGCCAACAATAAAGAAGGCTCTTATTTGCTGCGGATGTCGTGATAAGCCCTAGCAGAGGCGTCATGGATCCATGGGGTGATCTTGTGGGGCGCAATTAAAGCCCGGGGGCCTGCCCAGGTTCTGCAGGGGGGCTTAGATAATCTCAGGATTTAAGACCCAGTTTGGGACGGAGTACACACCATTCAGATACAATTCATATAGTATGAATTTAGAACACCGAAGTGGATCCCTGGCAGTATTTGGACCACGTCATAGACCCTTCTGAGAACTCGAAAGAAAAAAAAAGGAATTTAGCAATCATCGGAGACTGAACTTTCAAATTGAACATTAATATCACTTCGGGGGATTCAAGGACAAGAACACAAGAGGCATAACAACGGCAATTGGAATATTGGCTCAGATCACTAGATCTGTCTTCAATGAAGTTCAGCGTAACAAGTTTCTCATCATCGCCACCAAGCAAGCTGCCCCTAAAGCAAGGATAGAAGGCATGTCGATGATTAAGTAAAGCTCACCCCAAACATGCGCGATAGCCGCAACGAGAAGAGATACCCCAAGAATATAAGAAGGGCCAAGATAAGGGCAATGGAACAATGATTCAGATGAGGGATCATATCAGCAATGTGTCGTTAATGCATCTTCGGTCTGTGATGGTCGTATCACCGCCCGAAGCAGATCTCTTGATGGCAAAAATAAAAGTGAAACTAATAAATGAGATCCAGCGAAATTCATATTAGTTGTAATCCAGGAGCATGGGGAAGAGGGGGAGGAACCAATGGCAAGCTACTTGAAGGTAGCTCAGATCGCCAATGTTTCGTCAATGAAGTTTAGATAGACAGTACTCCAATTCATCATCGCCACCAAGTAAATGCCATTGGAATGAACTGTATGTGGACAGACCTGACAGTATAAGGAATATTCCACTTCAAAGACCAGTGAAGACTGGTAAACGTAGGAGACAAACGCAAAGTGCTCAGAAGGTGCCTCAGACAGGTGTAGTCCGGTCATCAAAAGATGTTCAGCGGCCCTTTGGTTCATCATCGGCACCACGCAAATTGACTTTAGGGTTTCAGATATTCGGGCAAGTTTCGTAACATGGGGAAAGCTCGAGAACAAGTATCAACAAACAATGGTAAGCGCAAGAGAAGAGCGCAAAGACCTCAGAATGTGCCTCAGACCTCACCTGGCTTGCCATCAAAGATGTTCAGTAGCTTTGTCTTTTCATAATTGGCATCGCGCCAACCGCTGCCGGGAATTTCATATATCCCGGCAAAGCTTACAACATGGAAGAACCTTAACTATACAAGTCAGCAATGACAACAGTGGGTAAAATTGCAATACTGGGACGTGAGAGAGAAAGACAATGTGCTTGGATGGTGCCTCAGACAAGTGTAGCTTGGTCATCAACGATGTTCAGTTAGCTCTCTTTATACATCATTGGCACCAAGCAATTCACAATAGGGAAAAAGTCAGTCGACAGCGTGCGGAGGCTCAACTCAAGAATTAGGGAAAGTCGTCAGTATTCAGAGATACCCATGAGGGAGACGACCTAAGGAGTATTATGCAATGGTGCATCAAATATGCTCAGAGGTCAGAAGATGTGAGAAAGGTTGGCAGGATGGAAACTCTGAGCAACAAGGTCACGAAAACTCACTTGGTCGAGATCTATGTGCAGTACCAAAAAACCAGCGGGACTGGCAGTTCTAGATCCAGAGACTGGATTGTGGAACCTCAAGCGCGAATAGACCACGTAGGGGCTTTTTATGTAGGTTCAGGCATGAATCGGCCTTTTTGGGGACTGTCTGCCTTGCAGCCATATATGGCAGATAGACACAATCTGAGGCCCAGATATAATCGGTTGCATGTTTGCCGCATTGAGACCCCAGTGGAGAAGCGGGATAAGGAGTGTGTGGAATTGGCCTAGGAAGATACAATAATATCAGCAAAGTCTAATCCAGCAATATGACATTGGGGTCGAATAGAAAGGTTTCCGTCAAATGGAGGCTCAGACATAGTGGTTGTTTTCATCTTAAGAGCAGGTACTACATAACCAACAGATAGAACCCTTTTCATCATCGCCAAAATGACAGTTGTAATGTGTAGGGTAGACTTACCATTGTATCAGTATAAGCCATTCAGAAACGAGCAAGAACACCGAGTAAGGATATGACGATAGTGGCTCTGTCGGGAATGCAGTAATGTTAGCAAATGCACTCCAGTATCCTGATTTGATATTCAAAGAGAAATGTCAAATATAGGCTCAGACAGGGGTTCTTTTCTTCAGGACTCTTTTTGGGAGCCATGATGGCCGGATACTACATAAGGTTCAGGTATAACCATTTTCATCATCGCCGACTTGAGATCCATAAGATGCAGGGATGAATGGACTCACAATATCATTTTCAGGAATGAGAAGGTATATCGTGCAGGAAAATGACCACGGCGATTAATCAAAAAGCTGAAGAGTACAGCTATTTGCCGTCATCGTTGATATATTGACAGCACGGATCAGAGGGGCAGACGAGGACTATGAAGCGGCATTTTATTAGCAGATAAAACCTCAAAAACACCCGAAGAGTGTATCAAGCAGTCATATCAATGTTCAAAGAGTGGCCCAAACACAATGTGCTTCACCAGGGCTCAACGCCCGGAGGGCAGGCTTGTAGATCACCAACATCACCCTGCACCGATCAGATCAAGAAAGAATCAGAGAAAAGATAAGGCAGGGCAGAATATGTGTTTTAACTCCGAAACGAAAAGATAGCATTGAGTCAAGGCATGAGAACAGGCATTGGCCGTTATCACTGCCATGAAAGCCCAGAAAGGTAAAGGAATACTCGAAAAGGATATTTCGTTAGCAGATGGAATTTTGAAAATCATCAATTTGAAGATAAGGCAATGGGTTTCAAATGGTGGCTCAGACACAAATTGCTTCATCAGGCCTCAGATCACCGATGCCATGTTTGCGATTCATCATTGCACCACCTGAAAAAAAGACGAACCCCATAATGCCAAGGTGCATTCATGGCAAGGAGGGATAAGAGTTTGGGGTTGTGTACACTTTACCTCAAAGGGATATATAGGACTGGGCGATTGACAGTCCAGAATGGCACGAACAGACTAGAGAAACGTAATGACATTAGCAGATAGAAGTTCCAAAGTGAGTGAGGTGTATGTAAAGGAGTGAAATTGGGGGAAGGGAGCGTATGCTTCACCTATGAATTGGAATATTGTGCCAATTTTTGGCTGTCGCTACTGCCATACTGACAGTCCAGAATCTCACAGCTAGACTAGAGAACCCATTTTGTTAGCAGATGAAGCTTGTCTCACACACGAGCAAAGAGTATATCAAACCGATATGCTAATGTTCAGATGGTAACCCAGGTCACAGAAAAGAGGTCTGCACATGATCATTGCACTGCAAGAAGAGCATGAAGTCCATCAGTTCAAGAAAAGACCATGGCAAGGGGGTGGGGTTGTGGGAGGGGACATATAGTTTACCTCGCACATTGCAGATTGGGCTGAGTCAAAGTGAATACACTTGCAGGCACTAATCAAGTGAGACGTCAGTAGAGAGGAAAGGTTCATGGGTACTCAAGCAAGGGGAATGATGAAAACTTCATCATACTTCTTACCATTGTCCCAAAAGGGAGAGGTCATAAGCCAATGCAAGTCGGAAAGTGAGAGCACTTCTGGGACAGTGAAGGGGACAGCGAAGGGAAAAGAAAACAAACTTACCAAGAGGAGATGAATGGATCGAGATTCAAAGTCAATAGAAATAAAAATACAACTGTGTGACGAGTAAGCATGAGTTTGTCAACGACTAAGCGTACACGCCGACTAAGCGAGCTGCGTCCAGTCGCCTAGGCAGCGAGACTACTGACACACCAAAAAAGACGTGACATCAGTCTAATCGACCTGGGACTCAAGGTATACGAACAAATCAAACCTGCAATAGGGTAAAGGGAAAAGTATCAACGTGCAGATGGAACGAGGTCAAGTCCAAGGCAATTGAGAATATCAGATGTATGAAGCCACTGGAGGTAAATGCAACCAGAGAGGATGTGTAGGAGGAAAGAAAAACAAAACAGACCAATCGACATCGAGAATAATCTATATACTTATACACAACGCTTATTGGCGGTTGGCGCAGGGAGATTGAACGCTGATTGGTCCGATGGAACCTGGGGTGCATACATAGGCAGGTACCCCTAGAGATGTACATTTTACTTCTACATTTTGAATGCTGTCGTGAGACAGACAACGTCCTCAACGCTGTGATGTAGGTGTTAATACCAAATTTTGTGAATGTTTCAATTGGATCGTAGGGTTTATCTGTACGAAACATCACAATCAAATTCGACGTGGTGCGCGAGATAAAGTTGGCTACATCTCGCTTGGAGATCGAGATTTGCAGTCGAAGATACATTAGACCCTCGGACTTTTTATACAAACCGCCTTGGGGGGTCACCGCCTAGTTATTGCGGCAATTGTTTCAACATAAACAGATGCTCAATAAAAGCAACCTAGACATTGCCAACAAGATGAGCCAAAAAGGCAACAGAGACAAAATGGCAACCGGCAACTTAGCAAAATAGTTCTTGACGACTAAGCGAAGAAGATATGGACAGTCCAAGCTAAGAGGCGAATCTCAACCAAGTTTCTAGCACTTAGTACCCGCCGACAGAATGAGGCGAGAATTCATTTCCTATAGGAAAAACAAGCGCCCTGCGATTGACAGACAAGAAGAATCTGCAGGGACTGAAGACTCGCTACACATTATGCACAGAAATCTGCAACGATCAGCATGATGTACCAGGCCTCCTACAGCGACGGGATAATCTTTCGATGAAGGTCTCGCCCCATTTTGCACTGCCAAGGTCAGCAACTGACAATACTGAAGTAGGAAACACTTCAAACCTTGTGTTGGCATTGACAAAGCCACGAAGATACTCGTACTTGGCCTTTCGCTCGGCTGGGTCCAAATTCAGCGCATTGAAGATTGCCTCGGACATTTCCGTCTTATTCGCAGGATGAAACGGGATACTACCATTTGTCATGAAGGAAGCTGCGCCGGCAAACTCAGAGAGAACTAGGACACCATGGCGCTCTTGCTGGCAGGCCACATACTCGAAGGCCACGAGATTCATTCCATCTCGGGTGGAGGTGAGAAGGCAAACATCAGCTACGGAGTACAATGCGGTCAATTCGTTGAATAGAACGGAGCGATGCATGTACAGCAGCGGGGTACCCTCGGGGGTGGCTGGCTAGTTAGTATTCTTCAAATATTTTGTGACGAGAGCTTACCGTGTTTTCCGTTGATCTTCCCTGCAATAGTACACAGTTCCGTTTCGAGATCCTGATATTCCTTTACGTCCTCGCGGCTTGGGACGGCCACTTGGATGAGAACAACCTTGTTTTGCAGCTCTGGGTGGTCATCGAGAAAAGCGTCGAAGCCCTTGAGTTTTTGCGTGAGGCCTTTGATGTGATCCAGTCGGTCGACGCCAACGATTACCTTGACGCCTTTGTAGCGGTCTTTTAGGCTTCGGATGCGGTCTTGGACATCAGGTTTCTGCAATGTGTCGGTGAAATTTTGAGGGTCGATGCCGACAATGAATTTGTCTATACAGACGAGCCGATTTTTATATTGGATTTGATTTGGAATTTCGGTGCGTGCGTTGCTGTTGGAGTGTTGGTCGATACTTCTTAATCATATGGGGAGGGCGAATTAGGGCTAATACTCACAGGAGACTGGCACATGTGTCGATGAAATTCTGCTTATACTCGTCCGTATGGAACCCAATCAAGTCACTGGACAACATGCCCTCGATGAGATGCTTTCGCACAGGGAGATTTCTCCAAAAATCTCCTGCTGGAAAAGGCGTGTGAAGCGAGAAGCCGATGGCACAAGATTTACCCTGTTGTTTCAGTCGGTCACGGAGAAGCTCGGGCAAAAGCATGAGGTGATAATCATGGACCCAGATCAACGTTCCACCCTCTGCCGTTTGAGCAATTGCATCTGCAAACAACTCGTTTACCCGTCTGTATGCTTGCCATGGAGTCTCATCAAAAACTACGCCGGACTGATAGTGGAGAATGGGCCAGAGAATACGGTCTGGCGGTCAGCGTGGATCACGATATCAGGGCACAAAGCTTACTCGAAAACCCATTGTAGTGCTCATGGGCCAGGGAGCTATCTAGGAATATAGGAATGGCGTTATGTTCCTGCAAGCTCTTTTGTACATCCTCTTGATCCTTTGGGTCCTTAACTTCAATTCCTGGCCAGCCAAACCATTGGAACTTGGTGGACTTGGTCAACCCAGAGAGAGAAGTGACGAGGCCACCGCTCGAGAGGGATGATTCAAATGCCCCTTTAGCCCGTTTAACAGACAATGGAAGGCGATTTGAAACTATGATGAGGTTTCGTTTATCGTCGGTGATTGAGCCCATCTTGTTACAGCAGCTGGAACCTTATGTATCTTGACCAACAACAAAGAACAGGCGATGAATCATGCACTGAATTCAGACAAAAGAATACTCAGATTTTATATTCAAAGGAGCAGAAGCCAAAGAGCAAATCGGCAGTTATACATGGCCGCAGAAATGGCGAATGGCAAATTGCAAATTTACGTCAGTATGAAAGGAACCGCATCCCTTTCCTACTTATTATCCATATGCTTGAACCCAGACTGGATTGGCCTCAATGACGCTCCCCCTCCAATAATTCATCTATTTGAAATCATGTGGATAATCTATAACATGCCCATGTGGTTGGTTTCCGGGTTCTCTTCGATACAGTTGGAGTATGAAATGGAAACCAGTCATTTAGCCCTATATTGACCGAAAGGGCGAAGGTCATACCAATTCTCAATATTCGACATTTCATTGATGTTATTGCTCTATCTATATTTTCATTTTCTCCTATATGCTCCATTGCTCTTCGTTATTGGATTTCGTCATGGGCATGTCAGAACTCAGCACCCGCCTCAACCTTTTCCAGCAATTTGCCTCTTTTGTCTCGTAGTAATTTTACAACAATAAAGCAGCTCAGTCCGGCTGCATACGAACAACCAGCAAACGCAATCAATCCCCAATACTGTCCTTCGCAGACATTTATGATCTCTCCAGCAATCGGGACGCCGGTCAATGCCCTGAAGAATATATGTTAGCTATGTGGTTTTTTAAAATGACACTCAAGTATAAACAAAGAAAGACTTACCCAAAGCTAACAATGGTATACACAGTGGTATAATATCGCCCATAATTCTCGACAGGGCACAGCTCTCCGACGCAGACTGGCACAAGACTGATATTGCTCCCGCTAGCGAATCCAAATACAATAGAGAATATCACCGTAGCAACAAGATTTCCATCTGCGGGCATCCAAATACCCAGGACGGAAATCAAACAAAGAATGTTTGTCAGGATCAATGTATTGAACCGACCAATGCGATCAGCAATGATGCCAGGCAGCCAACGACCAGGAAAAGAACCCGCGTTTAGAAATACGACCATCAGATACGACAGATTGGTGGAGATCCCGCTCGCAATTGCATACGAGGCAATGTACTCGAGGGGAATGAAAAAACCCCATTCAATGAAGAAGACTCCCAGTGTTGTCAGCGCAAGGACGGGATCTTTAAGAATAGTGAGATCGGGAAGGAAAGCCTTGAGTGATGGAGTGGACCGGACCCCGGGAGGGAAGTTCGCTCGAACTAGAAGACAGCCGGGGATCAAAAGGATCAGTGTGATCAAACCAACAACCCGACTAGCCCAGGCGAAGCCAACTTCGGGCGCGAGATACAGCAACACCAAAGGAAATATCACGCCGCCGATACTACCTCCGGCCAATGCAAGGCCCGTTGCTGCTCCTCGGCGTTTGACGAAGAAATGTCCAATGCTCGCGACAGGCACAATGAATATGAATGATGTGCCCACTCCTCCTAGTATGCCAATGACAATCAGAAAGTGCCAGTACTCCGTGCAAAAGCCCATTAGGATGAAAGTCAATACGAGGAGACTTGAGCCGATCCACATGAGCAGCCTCGGCCCTTTGATATCGAAGATCGGCCCGATTTGGATCCCGCAGAAGAACACAAGGAAGTTGTATATTCCGAAGATCCAGCCAATTTGTCCTTCGCTTATGTCTGAAAGTTGGTGTGTTGAGATCCAAGCTTGGTAGATGCCGATGCTGTTCATCAAGCCTAGTCCGCCCATGATAGCGCTAAAGCCACCTGCCACAACGAGGTTGCCAATGAGGCCTCCCTCTGGACAGTCGACTGAGTCGGGTGATTCGTGATGCATTATCTTATGCTACACAATAGGTAATAGGTACAAGACGGAAAAGGAAGTTTGTTGCTGGAACTATGTATATGAAAGCTACTACTGTACGGATATAGAGCTCCTTTTAACTGCTTCATAGTGGGTAGAGTTGATTATTTTCATCTACAAATTTTCGTCAGCTCGGCCAATATCAAGACATTAGATGCATGCATGCCGTTTGATGTGCAGGTGAATCAGAGATAAATTCGCCGACAGCATGAAAATCGGAAACGGGTTCGGGTTTGGGCCGGAATGATTAACGGGATCAACGAATGAACATTGTACTTGGAATCATCTGCAGCACTCCAAGAACTCCACCTTTTTACTTCAAGCTGCTCTGTGGCAATTGGCAAAGAACGGCCGATGGCCGAGCACCTCGGCCACCGGCGGACGTTGGCCGACTCGGCATCGGCAAATCCAGATCAAATTAAAATGTTTCGACATACATACTGCATTGCTCCGATGGTACACTTTCACAAAAAGTGGGAGAAAAGAAAATTTATAGGAATAGGAGATCTATGACAGCCTGGAGAAAAGACCAGTATGTACCTGGTACCAATGGTAGAGACAGCAGAGAAGCCGATATAGCCCCCAGAATTAGATCAACTCGAAACAAATACAAGAAAAAGAAAACACCATGACAATGGTATGAAATAAAACACCAATACTAGACTATTTCAAAATCCCACGCCCGATAGGTATGCTGCTAACCCATCCATTATAAAGCAAAGTACGCCGACCAGACCCAGGCCCAGAAATGAAAACAGTGGTTTAGACAAACCTACGCTTAGTCGGGCTCGGTGTGCGGAGGTGCTGCTCGCGCTCACGAGATCGCTCAGTGACAAAGTCCATTGCCCGTGTGTTCTCGAGCATCAGAGGCTGATCTTGTTTCTCATTGTAGGCGATGCCTTGGGTTTGCCGAGGATCTTGCTGCCCATAGTACCCAAATGAGGGGTTTTGCTGCAGCTGTGGGTGCATGGGTTGGGGTTGGGGTGGGTGTTGCGCGTAGTGCTGTTGCTGGAGACGGTGTCGGAATGAGCGGAATGACCAGTTGCTAACGATGGTGACGGTGGATATGGTTGCGAGGAAGAACAGCTAGTATGCAAGTCAGTAAAGATTCACAACCGAGTGCACTGGGAAACTCACAATTGCCTTCCAGCTGATGGGATCAATGAAACTGTTGATGATGATGGCCATTGTGTGTGCGGAGACCTTGGCGCGGCCAACCTTCGCCGGGTCACGATTCATGCACCGTTCCCAATTCTCGCATATAGTCTCCAGGGCCGGTGCGCGACTCGACCGGCCGCAGTCGTTGTCGATGTAGTTTTTCGTGCAGACCGCCATGTCGGCCAAGATAGTATCGGACATTTCTTGTGCAGCCTGCTCAAACTCACCACGGATGGCAGACACAAATGCGAATACGACATAGACTGCCAGAGAGAAGAGCGACAGGTTTACCACCAGTTGGGCCCACCATGACAGGATGGCGGGGACATTCGGGTGTGCCTCCAGCATGCTGAAGAACTCAGACCAGGATGACACCCGCGAACTTCCCTGTTCGGACTTCTGTCCCTTCCCTTGTTTTGTGGCTTTTATTGATTTCTCTTCCCTGCTGGGCCGGTCTTGTTCGCTCTCGTCGTCGCTATCGACTCGTATTTGTCGACCGAGTTCCTTGTCTCTCCGTCGTTTCTTTTGTATCCTGTGCAAAGCTGCGTTGGAGTGGTGGGTCAGCCGAGGAATTTCGCCTCGACCTGGGCTCTGTGGATTCCGGCCATGAAAGTTGAATAGTGATGCAGTTCCCTTCCCTGGCTTGTATTGCTGCTCAGGCGTATCCTCGTTGTCTGCGTAGTCTGGAGACGACATATTCTCGGCGCCTGATGAGAAATCTACGTCAAATTTGCGTGGCGTCTGGAAGGCAGGTTGGCCAAATTTAGCCTTTGGCGATAGTGGTGCAGGTTGCTGTCGGGGCTGTGAGAAGAGGAAAGGCTGGGAGTTCGGTTCGCGTAAGGAGGGTAGCGCTTGTTTCTGAGGAGATTCAAATGCGCTGTATGTACCTGTGGGAGTGTCAGAAGGCTCGAGATTGCAGTCGTCCTCCCTAAGACTGAGATACGAACGTTTCTTGTCATGCTGCGCTCCTAGCTGGTAGAATGGCGAGGTTACATCGCCGGGAGCTCGATTTTGCCATTCGAAGTCCATTGGACTCTCTCCCGTTCGCTTCTCCATCTTTAGGTCGAGCAGAATGTCGATCTGTAGCGGGTAGATGGTGATGGTTAAAGGTGGGAAGTTTTTTGTTTGGGGTAAACATCCAGACTCCCGTAGCAACCTTGGCATCGGCACTCTTTATCTCCGATGACTGCGTACTTCATCTTCTTTACATCTATTCAGATTTGGTTGTAATCATTCTATGATTTATTTTACAGCTCGAGGGTGACGATTCCATGCAAAGGCCTGACTAGAGCAAGCCTAATCGAAATTTTGACATCGGATTATGGAGTAGACCACCGATCGAGATATCTACATAGGCTTTACAGATATATAGATACGCAGTTCAAATCGAACATTTGGGGAATGAATATCATTTGATGCATTGGGTGACCAGCACCCACTATGGGTATTAAACAAGATCGAAAGCAGGCAAGACTGACAGCATGAGAAGCCACCTACTCATCCATCTGCCACTGATATTCCAAAGCCTCAAATCTGGTCTTCTTGTTTCGCGATGCAAACCAGTCCTTCTCAAACCCATTACCCCGATCCACTCCATCCCAGCGATGCCCTGGGCGAATCCCATACCGATTAGGCTGGAAGGCACCACGATACAGCGGTCGCCCCGTAGCACTAGCTCCAGCATCACGGCGGGCAGTAAGGAACTCCGCCGCAGGATCATTCCACCGATCGCGGGCCCTCAGATCTTCATTCATTTCTTCATCCTCGATCGTCCGTGCAAGCGGCATGGCCTTGATATCTTGTAGGTCCCGTCTGCGCTCCTCGCGCTGCTGCCGCTGTACATCTCCCATCAGCGCCTCGCGCGCCTGCTCTTCTTTCTCGCGCTTTTCTTCTTCTACGCGCCGGGCTTCGGCTCGCTTCATAGCCACGTTGATGATTCGACCGGATGCGTCACGATAGATTGTTTCTTGGCTCTTTTCGTTCACTGCTGAGGGATCACGATACTTTGCTTCTTCAGCTTTGCGTCGCTTTTCTTGGGCTTTCACCATCGCTGCGGTTTGGGCGGCTGTTTGGAGGCCTCCTCGTGCTCCGGACTCCATGCGCATCGCGCCATCAACTTCATTTTCTATCATAAGCGCATCTTCATCGTCTGGGTCATGTTGGGCAGCGCGTTCGGCTGCTGCGTCGGCTAGAATTGCGTCGGCGGCTTCTTGTTCACTTGCGCCTTGGCCGGGCGTGGGTCCTCCAATCGTCTTCCAGCTTGACTTCTTTGCGCGGCGGAACTCCGCGGTTTTGGAGGATGTCTCGAAATAAGGTCTGTCCTCGTCGTCTTCTCCCGTGTTTCCTAATGAACGAATGTCTGGTGGATCATCATCGGCAATGATGAGACCGGAGCCTGCAGTATCGATGGCTTTGGTCTTCTTTCGTTTTTTCTTTGGCCGCTCGGTGACAGGGTCGGCGGTCAGATAGTTCTTTGCCAGGTAATCGGCGAGTGAGCCAGGCATGATTTCAGTATGCTGTGTGTGAATGTTAAAAATGTAGAGGTGCAGGTTGAGCTCAGTGATCGATCCGGATGAATGTTTTCCCGAACTGTACGCCGCCTAGCGCTGTCAATAAGTGAACGATACTTGGGTATGGACTAGGCAAAATAGAGGAAGACCTCGAATTTTGTTGCTGAAATTACTTGGAGGCTTGCACCATGCCACGCTCCGAAGAAGCAGAGTGGTGGGCCAACGCAGTCTACGAGGCCATCCAAGAGATCCCCCAGGGCAAAGTCACTTCCTACGGTCATATCGCACGCCTCCTCGGTGAACGTATGGATGCAATCGAATTGTTATTGTAGCTATACTGACCAGTTTCCTTTGGTGATAGCTCAGCGTCCACGCCAGGTTGGGGTCTGCCTCAAGGTACTTGCGTCGCCGGAGTCTGGTTCGCACTTCAATTCGAACACCGTGCCGTGGCAGCGAGTGATTAATTCCAAGGGGATGATTTCGCATCGGTGTGTTTTCTCCAGGCTACCCTTATTTGAGGATATTTCACCATATCAAAATGGACCACATGGCGCAGACTCAACACGAGCTTTTACAATTGTTCACGGCTGACACCATAATAGTGGACCCGGGAGTGCGGAACGTCAGGCTGAAGCTCTCACACAAGAAGGCGTCGAAGTTACTACAGATAGCATGGGCGAGATATATGTTGATTTTTCTCGGTATGGATGGTTTCCGAGCAAGCTTCCCAGCGAAGGAACGGATGAGCAGCAATGAGGTTAGGAAAGTTGAACACACACACAAATACCTTTGTAGAGACGTTTACGAACATCATATCAGATTCTACTGTACTTGCATTACATTTGAGCGTTAATGATGATCCAAAGGGAAAAAACGTACGGGGAATTAATCCATACATAGCAAATGGTCATATCTTGTCTGTCTGGTGGAAGGAATCTAGAAGACTATCCGGACTTGGCAGATGAGTGGGAAGAGATGACACAGGAAACTAAAGAGGGGTCCCATCACGAATATGATCAATGAAAATGGAAAGACGAGTCTATGCGAGAGACATGAGATGGAAAAGCACCAGACACAAAAGGTGGACAGACGCGCAGGGGGGAAAAGGCGAGGGCATAAGCATACGAGCATGTCGACAAACACCCCCATCCAACCAACTACCAGCATAGGACGAAAGAAGATTCGAAGAGAGGAAAAAAATAAAGACATAAACCAGCCAGCATCGATCCGTAAATGGAAAGAGAAAAAGATCGTTAACTCACATCATCGCCATAAGGGCATGTTCGCAATAAAGACCTGGGGGATAGCCCCATCTAGGCTAAGGAAAGAGAATAAAGAAGCAGGGGCCACGAAGATCACCATCATCGCTTTTTAACCTCGGTAGCCCAGCCATCAATGCCCTCACCACGGGTGCCAGGGGCAATGCCCAGATCGATCCCATCCATGCCTGGTGTGTCCTTTATCCACTCATGAGCTGCCATACCACCAGCGTTTGCCCGCTTCTCCGGTGACAAATCAAGCATTGGCAGTAATAGTTCACTAATACGCATGCTCTCCTCCATGGAGTAGTGGTACTTTTCACGCAGGACGTCGGGCAAGGCCCAGTGACGGAGTCTGTGGATATTGCGAAGTTCACCCTTGCGATTGAAGATTTCTTGGGACCATTTTCCAGACATGCAAAGTGACTTGGGGAAGGGACCGAGTAGTTCAATAATTTGGGCGATATGATCATCGTCCTTGCCATATTTGGTCCCTGATTGGGGATCAAACAAATAGTCTCCAGTTATGAGTTCAAAAACCTAGACAGTTAGTATGTTGATCAGCTCCGGCTGTGATGATCATGTCACTCACCATGCATGCCATACTCCACACATCAGTACTCGCACCCCACTTTGATCCCAGGATGACTTCGGGTGAACGATATTGACGAGTTTGAATGTCGTTGGTGAAGTGATGGCCGACCCAACAAGCATTGCCTAAATCTGCAATCTTGACAGAAATAATGTTGACATCAAGTTCTTCTTCTGATTTGCTCGAAGAGCCTTTATCGAGAGAGATACCAGACACCTCTCGCTCCAGGAGATCACTGTATGGTATATTGTTAGATCAAGTTCTTGCCGATCAGGCTAACGAATATGAGACGTAGTAACGTACGCGGTTTTCTCTCGCTGGTTCTGCTTCACATCTTCTTCCTTGACCCCAAGTAGTTCTTTCATAGAGGGTAATTCTGTAGTAGATGTTAGATAACTTTCAGTCCACGCACGGTTATGGCATAGACGCATCAAAGGAGACTGACCTCCAGGTTCGTTGACCATCTGACTGAGGCTACTGTGTGAGTTGGAAGAGCTATGTTTGAAGTCGAAGCTGTTGAAGCTGGTGTTGAGTGGACTGGGGAGCGGCTGGCTCCCTGTGATCAGTGTGCGTCGTCGTCTCCGCCCATTCCGGTTATCCTCTTTCTCCTTGGCTTCTTTGCTGGCTTCCTCTTTGACATGTGCCTTGACGATCTGCTCCACATCTCCGATCTCGATCAGGACATTCTCCGGCTTCAGATCCGTGTGAATGATCCCGCACTCACGGTGGAGATAATCTAAGCCCAGAAGCACTTGTTTCGCGATCTGCTTGACCAAAGGCATGGGAACACCGCGGTGGTTCCACCGCTTGATCAAACCCAACAGGTTCTCACCCAGTACCTCGAAGACCATACACACATGGACACCGTTCGGTCCCTTATGCTCAAACGAGTCCAGCAGACTAACCACATGCTTCCGACCAGGGTGAGAGGGTTTCGCTTGAACTATTTTGTTGAGGAGCTTGATTTCGTCGATCGCGGTTTCAGTGTAGTGTGCGGCGGACCGGACCACCTTCAGCGCGACGTGCTTGTTGGTAGTTGTATCTCGCGAGAGCCAGACTGTAGAGAAATGACCCCATCCAAGTTTGCGCACGACAATATAGCGACCATTGTTGTATGCTTCACCGACAGCGACGGGGTGGTATCCACCTTTGCAATAATCTTCGGAGTCCTCCTCTTCCGCAGTCGCCTCGAGTTCTTCGCCAGACGATGATGATGATGAGCGCGATGCAGGTGATTTGGGGTTCTGAGCAGCGCCGGTTCTATGGGAACCAGGTTAGTAAGTATGTTCATTAGGAACCCTTTCAAAACATACGATTCTGTGCCGGGCGCAGGGTTCGCTTCATTGGTGACGATGGGCTTCAAGTCGGTACCCTTTCTCCTTTTCTTGCCGCCGTTGCCATTGGCAGCTGAAGCAGCGACGTTTGCCATCTGTTTGCCCTTGTTGAGTATCGCTTTGGTGAGATCAACTCCCTCCATGGTGTGGAGATTTGGGAGGTCAAGCTGAGAGAGGCGGGGCACACTTGGCTTTTGGTTGGCTCAAGCGGAACTTAGAGGCGGTGGATGTTGGAGGGGGCTACGTGCACACAGTAAAAGACACGGTAATCAGGGAATATTATAGGGATTCAAGTAAATGAGAATAATTTGGGAAGAGAAAAATGATGTTGATGGACAAAAAAAAAATGGAAAAAAAAACG